TAGAATTACAAAGAAACAATGAGCTGTCATGTGGGTATATATTAATGCTGCCCATTATGGATACAAGCAATTTTCACCCATTTATTAATTATATGTTTTACATTTGATAACACCAATGTGTTTAATACTGGCAACTTCTAATGGTGGGAAAATGAAAACGTTCCCAGTAGAGACTGGCATTATACGATTTAAAATAAAAACAATAATCATGGCTTGATATTGAGTAAGAAAATGTTTTTATGAACCACACAGCTTCCGGTCTTCAAAGACCCGACCGGACAAAAAGACGTGCTGCAGGCACGAAACATACTACCAATAGAAATACATTGCTTTTAAAAATTGTTCTGTGTGACACGAAAAAAAGGGGGAAATCGTGTTGGTGAACACGAATCAATAGATTCAATGCCGTGACTATAACACGAAATGCACATGTTACACAGATGTATCGCAGTATGATTCACTTAAGATAAAGAACTGCATTTCAGCTGAGGTGAATCATATTTAACGCTACTGAGGTGATAATGTGTCATAAACTCTCTGTTGTAAATAATTGTTACCAATACTTTACAATATTATGAGATTTTCAGCTGACCCTAGCTGAGGTGATTGAGTCACTTTGAGGTGAAGGCTTCTCTTTTGCCTTAACAATGTGAATACACTCCAGCACTTTTAAGTGCCAAACATGTCTTGAGCAAACCTCTTTAGTTATAGCTTTGTAGCTGGCTTGGTCATGACATCAGCAATCATTAACTCAGTAGGGCAGTACTCCAAAGTTAACTTTCCGTTATTCACAGTTTCCCTAATGAAATGGTACTTAATATCAATGTGTTTGCTCCTTTGCCTGTTTACTGGGTTTTTCGCAAGGGCAATAGTACCTTGGTTGTCCTCGTACACCTTTGTTTGTGCATACTGGTATGCGTCTATACCTTTGAGTAGCTGATCTAAATAGATACATTCTTGTATAGCTGACGCTAAAGACATGTATTCTGCCTCACAGGTGGATAATGCCACTGTTGGTTGTTTCTTTGTTTTCCATGAGATCAGAGAGCTTCCTTAGATTGACACAATATCCTGATGTGCTACGCCTGTCTGTTGCATCTGATGCCCAGTCAGCATCACAGTACACTTTTAGACCTAGTGCCTCTCTGTCATTTCTCTTAAAGCATAACTCCTGTTCTGTTGTGCCTTTTAGATATCTGAACACATGTTTTACTGTGTTCCAATGTTCCTCTGTTGGTTCAGCCAAGTGCTGAGATAGTTTACTGACCACAAAACCTATATCTGGTCTAGTACATGTGGACAAGTAAATTAAACTTCCCACTGCCTCTCTGTATTTAGTTGGGTCTGTCCATTTTTCTGAATCAACTGTTTGTTCACGTGTTGGCTCACATGGGGTCCCCCTGGCCTTGCAATCCTGCATTTCAAACCTCTCTAGGATTTTGCTTATATATTTATTTTGAGACATTTTAACTTCACCTTCTTTTTGTTAAAAATCTATTCCCAGGAAATGTTTCAACTTTCCCAGGTCCTTCATTTGAAACCTGTCAGAAAGCACAATCTTTACACCTTCCAGTACATTTGTGTTGCTTGCTGCTATGATCAGATCGTCAACCCATACAATCATGATGACCTTTTCATCATGTTTCTCTCTTGTATACACACAATGATCAGCTGGAGTCTGTATGAAACCGTTCTCACTCAGACATGTGTGTAACATAGCTTTCCAGTTTCTACCTGATTGCTTAAGGCCATAGGGAGACTTTTGCAACTTACAAACTAGGTTTTCCCCGGTTATTGACTTTTCTTCATAGCCTTGTGGTTGCTCCATATGGATTTCACAATCAATGGGTGCCTGCAAATAGGCTGTCTTAACGTCCATCTGGTGTAAAATGAGTCCCTCTTGTGCTGCTTTCTGCACTGAAAAAAAGGGGAAAGTAGGGTTGTTCAATTTGCAAATATGCAGTTAATATATGAGACAAAATGTATTCATGNTAAGTATCGCTGGTGTTTTATTTTATTTTATTTGGTTTTCTAGCCCCTCATGCTGTAATCATGTGTGCGAGAAGACACATAAACAGGAATGGAGAAAATACACATGATTACAGCATGAGGGGCTAGAAAACCAAATAAAATAAAATAAAACACCAGCGATACTTAGCTCAATTAAAGTAGGATTTGCCTCCTCTTTGCCTCCCTCGTGACTCCCACAGGACTCCATTGTCTTTGTCAGTCTTACTCCCGCAGGACTCCAATGTCTTTGTCAGTCTGAAGCTGACGCTCCAGGAAAGAGCCACCTAAGATGGACACCTAATTGCTGAGTTCTCACAGCGGTGGGGCCATTGTAATGCAGGGTTGAGGCGCGTGACCCACTGAGACCTGTGTAACAGGTTCAGTTGAGCAGATCTGCGATTTAAAATCTCTCAAAAGCGCAGTTTTAGCTACAATAACTACAGAACAATTATACAGAGTAGAATAAATGAAACAGAGAAGTCCTCACCCGGTCTAGATAGTGTCCTCACCCGGTCTAGATTCACATCTCATTGATACCCATATACTCACCAACGTGCTCGGTTCCTATTGGTTGAGTAAATTATATTGAATGATTACAAAATCCTCAAGCTTCTCCCTTTTAGTGTTATCTCCCTCATACGGAGCAGGCTTGAAGTTTGTGTGTGTCCCTGTCCAGCTGTCCCATTGGCTGGGCTGTGTCCTTGCTGTAGAGTAATGGAACAGTGAGGTAATCAGTGGCATGACTCTAGGAAGGACACCGGCGAGATCCGCTTTTATGCTTGGCACTGCATTCAGCTTGCAGATCAGTGTTGATACACACATACAGTCACACACCCTTGGACTTGGTTCCACACACTCCCGCTCTAGGGAAAGGCTGTGCATTGAGCGGGGGAACTGAAGCGCGTGCATATTCACAGGCTCAGCTGGAGATACATGCTTTCACCCTCACTCAGTGAAAATACACGCTTGCAGGAACACTTTCACATTCCAAAGCATCCAAGCTGAGGAGCAAGAGGAGACAGTGACGGCACTCTCATCCAGTATCTGCACAGGTACAAACCAAAAAGGTGTTCTTCTTGTATCTAATCTGTTGTTTTTCATTGTTGGCTAAGCAACTGGCTGTGCTTGCAATGGGCTGGTTCCTGATGCCTCATTGTAGCGTGAAGTGTTTGAATTGATTGATTCTGATGTTTTTAGTGGCTTTGATTTGATGGCTGATTGTTGAGCGTTGGCATATTATGCGTATGGTATTCATCAATATGCGGAAGTCATTATCAGGTATGTAATGATCTGAATTCTGAGCGTTAAATTGAGCATTTTTAAAGTGGTACTGAGCATTACACTTCTCATTGAGTCTTTTTACTGAGATCTTCTCATTGTGTAATGATTTCTGTCAAAACAAAAGCATAAAGAGGGATATATTGTGTTATTTAAAGTAACACTTCTAGCCAGGCTGTAAATCATTATAACACAGCAGCTGTCTTTTGTGTTTCACTGTAATGTATGATGTGTACTTTGAAAAAAACTATTAGCAAAACAGCAATTTGGATTATAAGTGTATGGATTCCCATATCTACAGGTGTGTGTATTTGTATTATAAGGTGAAGATATCATAATGTCCCTCAGACACAGTCAAATGCTGCTTTGGATCAGCTGGATATAACATCGCACAACAATGCCCAAATGCAGCATGTTTACACAGTGATGTGTACATTGCCAAACCACATTATGTGAGTATGAATTGGCAACAGCTGCTGTCCTGTCACAAGGAATAACTCGGCACTGTTATAACAGGGAGGCTGAGAACATTTATGGCAGCCTTTATCATCCAAGAAGTATCATAATTATGGACAGACAATTAATTTCTGACAACCAGATTATTATAATGAAAAGGAAATGTCTTAACAAGCATGCTATATCCACTAGTGATCTCATGCTAAACTGGTTCTACTAGATGTACTTATTGGATTATATTTTCTACACTGCTGTGATTGGCTGTATTAGGCAGTGTTAACTCTAATCCCCCATTAGCATTGTCTGCCACAGATCCTTTCTGATGCTGCCACTTAGACTGAAATGTGTTGTCTACACAGTACGTAATGTACAGTACAGATGTACTATGATGTCCGGGCATATGTGATATAAAGAAGCATGTTTCAAAGCAAATGCAGTGTTCCCCTTCGGTGAGTATCTGTGGTCTGACCCATTTCAGCAGCAGCTGCAGGGGAAAAAAGTGCCAGTGAGAGTGCCACATTTATACAGTGCATACTGGGCACAGTTTGACTGACTGGTTGGTGACTGTACGAAATGTAAAGTGGAGAAATCTCTGCTGTTAACTTTTATGCACACAACGCAGATTTGTAAGCCCATCCTTTCTTAGTGTTTCTCAGGCAGCAGTTTTCCACACCTGTCAAGAAAACAAATGGGGGCTTCCAGCGTGAAACCACTTAGTGATGACACGAAGATGCACATACTGTATCTGTCAGTTTATATTGCTCTGAAGCCAGGAGAGTGGCAGAACATTTTTTTTTCTAAGCTGTATGTCATAGCTTTCTGTCAACAGTCTGTAAAACACCCTACAACACCTTGGGGATTTGAAAAAGCACAGAGTACCGTTTGACCTTAACATCAACAAGCATCGCCACATGGGTATCTGACCTGCTGACTGTCATCTCTCACCCAGGATAGACTTCACCGGGCACAGATAAATTTTCCTGTTGGTCCCTGCACTGCCCTTCTTCTTTTCCAGATCATACGAGATCTGGAAGCGTTTATTCAACCGTATCTCAACTCATATCAGAATCTGACCTTTTAAAGCCAATGGTTTGGATGTACAGAGAGAAACTTGGGATACAGAGTTTTTCTGTGTAATTGGTACTGTATTTCTCGATTTAAAGTAGTTGCTTCCAGGCGACATATAGTCAAGTACATTTTGACAAACAGTTACATATTTTAGTGTGTAAAGCTATAATAATGTGCTTCCCCTCTCAGTAGAGAAAGTTACATTTTAAAACAAAGACAATGCTCTCCCCTGTGGGGTGTTGGCCAAGGAGAAGCTTCCCTCCCGGGCTCCAGCGACAGCACAGCCTCAGCAGGGCTTAAAATAGCGCTGTTTGTGTTCAGGCGAGAGGATGCTGGGAGAATGAAAGAGCTGGCTGGGATAGTTACACAACAAAGTGTTCTGTTTCTGGATGGGCTTTTAAGCCAAGTGCCTGGGACAGGAAGTGTTAACACCAGCTCCCTAACAGCAGACTCATTTACTTTACAACCATACGTTTTTTTATAAAAAGAAGAGAATTTAGTTATTGGGGAGGCTTGCAAGGGCATTCTATTTTGTGAAATGTGTCTCATTAGCAAGAGCTTGTTCCTTGAAGACTTGCGCAACAACTTAGAACGGTATGATAATACTGCTTTTCCCTAGATGTATTTTTTCCTCATGATAAAAATCCAATTAGTGTCCATACTTTTTATATAGCTGTGTGTAGGACATATCTCACAGTTGGAGGAAAAATATATTTTTTTGTGGACATGACTGCAACAGTGAAGTTTCTCCTGGAATGCAGGTGCCAGGCAGCTGTTGAGTCTCGTGTTTATGAAGCTGCTAATGAGCTTCTCTCACAGTTACAGCAAAGATCTTATTGCGACGTTAAGTCTATTCTTTTTAGCATGGACTTGGATCACTGTGAGTATGTGTTTTTGGATACATTCCGATATTATGCTTTATATTAATATCAACTTTAGCCCATGGACCAGAGCTGTTTTATTCTCTGTTGCTGAATTAGGATCTGTGTATTGTTGCACATGAGTCATTCTCACCTTTGTTTACTGTATCTATGATGAAGTTGTGCTGAGTGAAGTCTACGGCACAAAAGGAATCAGGTCTACAGAATGTATTTCAGGAAAGTGGTTACATGATAAACCCTTAGCTTGTATTTGTGTGACTCGGATCAACAATGCGTGCATTTAAACCGATCAATATTTATGACCAAAAGCTAGATCGTCAGCCTTGAAGAAAAAAACAATCAGCAAATTGGTTGATATGCCCCTCAGAGTTTTCACTTCCTCATCCATCATGTGGCCTGATCTCGACCACAAGAGTCTGGAGCTCTTCATGTTCCTGAAATACAGTTTGAGCTGCTGACAGTCACTCAGGGCCAATTGATGTACTCTTTTTATGGGAATATCACAGTTAATATCTTAGAAATGATCTGTGTGACCTTGTTGATCACATACAATCTTGTCTATAGTGATAAGGAGGAAGGTGATAACCTAAACATTGTCTCCCCCATGATGGTTTAAACCAAATATCTGAAAAGGAAATCAGTGAGTTAGAGTAACGGGCATGAATTCTAACCCTACCCTCGAGCAGATGCACTGGCAGGTGTTTCTCTTTGCATGGCTGTGCACACAGCTGATAGTAATTCAGGCAGTATAAGAGATGAGGATAAACTTCTGGTCTTCAAAAGAAGACGTTTGCTCTGCTTTGCTTTCTCAGATTTACAGTGTGATTTACAAGCTCCTGTTTCTCTCAGCTGCCTTTCCCAAGGTGATTCTGAATGTTTATAAACCGTGGAGGCTTTCCTCTATCTTTACGAGCATAAATTATTGCTTTCTTTACTTTGAGAATATTTTTTCTCTCCTTTTATATTAATTGGAGATGCATTAAATTCCTAAATGTGCTTTTCCAATTTTTTAACAAAAGGTGTGGTTATAGCGATTATCAAATGTTATGTAATTTGTGCGAGCATCTGTGGATTTTGGTTGACTTTCCCATCTTCTGTTTGGTTAGCAAAGGACGTACAACGGCAGCGTTAGACAATAGGAAACACTCAGCTGGTCTGTCCCTCAGTGGCCTGGGTCAGGTTGCCATGAAGGGACACTCAATCCTGGGCTTCAGAGCTGTCCGAGACTGGGGTGTTTGGTTCCGACTGGAGGAAACCAGATATGTGGGCAGGGTCAGAACAATGACCTGCCATGAGAACCACAAAGACGCACACACTGGCAGCTAGATAAGCAGATCAATACCTTCATATCAATCAAACCACCAGTCAGTCACAAATCTGCCAGATTTTCCATGACAAATACACTGCTCACATGTTAGAGCGATATATAAATAAGCATAATATATTGAGTGTGTGTCTGTGTACGTTTCATCTCTTTGGTGGTCCTGTGTTTTCAGGTGTGGAGCCTGCAGTTGGAGCAAGAGGAGGAGAAGAACAAAGCTCTGACAGAGGCTCTGGAGACCTTATCAACCGACCACTACGAACTCAAGCAGTCCCTGAGTAAGAGCAGGAGGTCGTCCACCCTCAGTACCCTCACTGAAGATGACTTCTATGACGCTGTGTCAGGTGAGATACCTGGAGTGTTACTGAAGTAAAGGAGTGAATATCACTACTGGAGTTAAACTAGATCAGAACTTTAGTATAGTATATCTTGTTCTTCATACAGTTGCATGGTCACGTCGTGCGCATTCTCTGATTGTAAAGCTCCCTTAAAACAAGGGTTTTCCTAGTGGGTCCCTATTTTGTTTATTCAGGAAAAGGACACACATTTCTGCTGATGGTTTCTCCCTTTTCTGCTGTTTAACAACTGTCAGCAGTTAGGCGGTACAGCGCAGAGAAGTAGGACAGGGATGAGATGAAGAGTGCTGGTTTGCAAACATCGATGTAAACAATGCACATTAAAAAATAAATAATCTGCTCTGCAATTCTTTAATGAAGAAGGCATTTAATAAGTGTGTCAGTGAAAACTATTAGGAAAGGACATTTGTATGGTTATAAAAATAAAAAAAGCTCCACAAGGTGACTTTAAGAATTGTAACTGTAATTGTGCATTGAGTTTGACATACATGTTCCTCCAGCAATGCATGTTGTTCTTGCTTTGAACTTCTTCAGTGTTTCATTCTCACTTAAATAAAATAATAATAGGTTGTTAAGAATTTAAGCTTCACTGTGCTTGTGTGTTAGTGTGTGTATTTGGTTGAACCCAATGACACTCCTTTGGCACCTCATCTGTCTCTGAAATTGCCAAGACAACACTGCCAATATCCTCTTCTCTTCTACTGAGAGCTTATGAGCTGGTGATTAGCCTTACTGCTTTAGTTTTCAACATAAGTACTTAAAGTGAATCATTTTCAAAACAAATGTACAGTGCTAGCATGTTTACCATGTGGAGCATATACATCAGCAACATCTCTAATGGATTCTACAAAGATAGCTTCTCCCCATGGTGATTATTTACACTAGACTTCCTTCTACATCATGTTTCTGCACTGACCAGTCGGGAATCATTGCATTATTTATAGATGTCTCCCGAGTTATCCTCTAGCCAGACACACTGACTGTACACTAAACTGTGCTCATTTATATTTTCAAATGTAAAGATATAAAACCTTGATGACTGTTTAGAGACCACAGACATGCAGCTGTTGTGTCTTTAGACTGTACACACTATCCTCTCCTCCCCTTTGTGTCACTGACAGTACCTGTAATGTCCCTGATGGGGGAGGAGTAGCATCCAGAGAGCACAGAGCAAACAATGTTGGAGGAAATGAAGCCTCTGTGTGGCCTCTCATTGGAACACAATCCTCAGGTGGGGTTTGGCTGGCAGCAGGGAGGAGGAAGTTAGAGAGGAACTCGAGCACAAGTGCTTATTTCGCAGACAGTGTAGTGCAGCTTTCCGAGCTGGCCACTCGAGTCTGTGTGTGTGTGTGTGTGTTTGGCATGACCTGGCATCTGCCCCCTCTCATCATCCCACAGGGTCGGAGCTCTCGGTGAGCGGCTTCCTGTCTGTGGCCAGTCCTTCCTGTGAAGAGGACGAGGGCAGAGACGCCCCTCTTCGCAGCAGTCTCCGCCGTCCCAGCGCACTCAGGGGGCCTACCGGAATGTCAGGGGAGGGTAACCATGGCAACCAACCCGCCCAGCAGAACGGAGTGGAGAATCAAAGGTGGGACGTGCTCCAGTTATGATGTCATGCTTGTTTTCTGGATTTAAAAGATGGCTAAGGGACAAGTGGAAATACAGAATGCTCTTCATACAGCCCATTCACTGTTTATTATGTGCAAGGCTTTGTTTAAGATGATATTCACTACTGGTGGCTGGATTTAGTAGTGTATAACTTTGAATTGAAACTAAATTGAATATCATAAATGTGACTATTTAGTATGCGTGCCTGATGACTGGTTGCAGATCTCAGTCAGCATGAGGATAGGCAGGTACAAAGGCACAGTCGGTGTAATGAGAAACCGGCTTTACACGCCGCTCTGTTTTTCTAGTCAGGTGTTTTTGTTTGAGCACCCAATCCACAGAGAATAGCCGGGTTTGTTTTTCCTGACAGATCCAACTCTCCAGGGGAATAATCAACGTAGTGCTTGGTGATTGGCGCGGGTTTTCTTTTTCATATTCCCGTGAAGATTCGACAATCTCTTTCATTTCCGTGGATGCTGATTCTGGCTCGGCCTCTCTTCCTTAATCCAACAAGTGATTCATGAATAATTCAACAAGTGCTGGCTCAGAGTTGGAGGAAAGGGGACTGGCTGGCTAGCTCTGTGTGCATACGTGTATGCTTGTGTGTGTTGTGCATTAAGGATTTATGAGGTGTCTGTTTATTTGGAATTGCTCCTGTCATTCAAAGATACAGCTGTCCCTGTTTGCCTGAAGATGGGTTGTACAACATCTCTCTGCTCTCCCTTTTCTGTATTACAAGGACTGCTTACTACAGTATACTGTACACTCTTTAGGATAATGGATAATTGGTCTGCATTTATCAGTTGGCTCTTTGGCTGTAAGATCTGAATGCTTAACATTTGGATATAGCATGTCCACGTGTATAGAAAGTCCTTTCTCACTTTAAGTTGGCCTGTGTTTCAGTTTCAAATGTTTTGGGCAGAGGAACACAAACTAGGCCAGACGTAAAGTCTGCCATGCATCACCGCGCTGCTCATCCCACAGATGGAGCAAACCCCCACTCCTAACCTCTCTGTTTATTTAGCTGAAGTAATGGCTTTTATTTGTGTAGTTGCTTCCACACACTTTTAAACAAGGGCACCATCTGCAAGCATACCTGTAAAACACTCCTCACTACAGCTGTTAGCAAGGCTGGAAGATAAACTCAACAACAACACAAAGGGGATTTAGTGCAGCAGCAAAGGCTTCATATGAGAGGGAGTAGACAAGCAGTTGGGTGTATACTGCGTGAGTTAAAACGCTCAACCACAATGAATCTAAAGAAATGCAAATGTTGATGTTTTTGAGCCAAGTTTTGAGCCAAGTTTCATGAAATACCTATTTAAGGAGTGTATCTTATAACCGGTCTTGTAAACCAACACATGCAGTTGTAAATCCACTCATGTGTATTGCATGAGGCTTGAAAAGGCCGGCTGAGAGCTCATTAGCTTACAGGTGTCAGGTGACTGTGTATCCAAACATCGGTTCAAGCTGTGGTGTCTGCTTTTAAATAGTGCAAGCAAAATATTATTGTTCCAATGGAAGTCAATTGTTTTTGAGTTTGGAGGAGACCAGATGTCCTATCCTCAGATGCCAGTTTTTGCTGTTTGAATTTTACACAAAAAAGTAAACAAACAATCTTCTTCGTTAATGACATTTTCTCTCAAGGTTGACTGTATTCTCCCTCTCTTTACAGAACATCACTGCCGGCTCCCATGTTCTCCAGGAATGACGTCAGCCTCTGGAGTATCCTGAAAAAATGCATTGGCATGGTGAGAACAGACTATTTTCCTTAGGCAGATTTACCCTTTTTATTTGTTGTGCTTCACTTTACTGTTGGGCAAAGTAGGCTTGTGAAATGTACCTTGCTCAAAGTTGTTGGGTTGTGATAAATTGCTCTTGTACTTCCTCCCTAATTTATGGCTTTGGGAACATAGTCATTAATATCAGTGTCTTCAAGTCCTAAGGGAGCTTAGTCCTCACCCAGCGCCTGCCTGAAGTTAATTACATTTAATATTGTCTATTAATGTGTTATTCCCCAATTAAATGTGGCTAATGATTCATGAATACGCAATTCAGAGGGCAGACAGATAGATATACAGACATGGGGTACGCATTGAGTTTGTGAAAGAGTGCAATCATGTGCTTGTTGTGTAGAGATAAGTGAATTATTCATTGTTTTACCACTTTTTCCTTTCCTTGTTTGAAATCACTGCATTTGGTTTGTGTGTGTCGGATAAAGCATAGTTGTTGCAGTTGAGTGTTTGAATAGATAGAAAAGAGTCAGTTTGCAACACAACCAAAACATTTAATATAACTGTGGATTTTATGAGTACATACATCCAGATCTTAAAAAACCTACATTTTTTGGTCATAAAATGGTTGTATTTAACAGTATTTCCACATTTCAATGATCCTGTCTTCTCCAACATATTTTTCAGGAGTTGTCAAAGATTGCCATGCCTGTGATATTCAATGAGCCTCTGAGTTTCCTCCAGCGGTTATCAGAGTACATGGAGCACACCTACCTCATCCACCAGGCCAACACAGCTACAGACTCCGTTGAGAGGATGAAGGTACTGCACTTCAAAAACACACAAAAAATAGTGTCATCTGTCGCTTATCATTAAAGTTATGTTTTAGCTCTTTTCCTAGTATATTTTTTGTCATTATCAAAAATGGAATAAGTCACTTGTAATTTGGTTATAATACACCAGTGCTCTGTAGTGTGTTGCAGCGTTTGCTGTGTCGGCAGTAGCGTCGCAGTGGGACAGGACTGGGAAACCCTTCAACCCCCTGCTGGGGGAGACCTATGAGCTCATCAGGTGAGACAATGGAGTCATAGGTACCTTCAATGCACAAATGTTTTATGGGTCATATTAAACTGAACATTAATTGAAGATTTATAACATAACAAACTCCTCCCTCTTCTCCATCAGAGACGATCTGGGCTTCAGGTGGGTGTCGGAGCAGGTAAGCCACCACCCTCCAGTCAGTGCCTTTCATGCTGAGGGCCTCAAAGAGGATTTTGTCTTCCACGGCTCAATCTACCCCAAACTCAAGTTTTGGGGTAAAAGTATAGAAGCTGAGCCCAAAGGACTCATCACACTGGAGCTGCCCAAGTGAGTGCACAGTTTAAAACGGCTTTACAAGTCCGCCCTGACTCCTTTTTGAATAACCGTCATCTTTTATCGTTACCTTTTTTGCAGATATAATGAAAGCTACACCTGGACAAACCCCACCTGCTGTGTCCATAACATCATTGTCGGTCAGCTTTGGATTGAGCAGTATGGCAGTGTGGAAGTGATAAATCACAAGTAAGAATGATTCCCTTCTCTTTGTGCTTCTCTGTTTGTCTGCAAATGCGTTCCCGCCTGGTGAATTTGCATGCAGAGAGACCGGGGTGCATGAGAATATTCTTCTCTCTGCGCTCTACAGTGGGGTGTTGGTCTACTTTGAGATTCAGTTTATTGATCATGGAAGCAGAACTGGGACACTTGCCATCAGAATAGAGGAGCAGGATAATGAATGTTTGAGAGCCTCAGCGCGCAGAAGGAGAGAAGTGAAAGAGAATTGGTAAACAGTCTGTCATTCTGTGGCAGGACCGGAGAGAGATGCAGCATGACGTTCAAACCATGTGGCCTCTTTGGGAAAGAGCTACATAAAGTGGAGGGATTCATCTTGGATAAAAGGTATCTTCCTTATTTGTGATTACCTTTTTAGAATTTCTGATGTTTAGTATTGCCTGAAAGCAACGTGAATATGACAGTTGTGTCTTATGTGATTTAATCAGTTTATATCAGTTTTACTCCTCAAGCTTTCAGAACAGTTACACTGAAATACATGTGAAATATCAAAGGCATCCAAAGCTGTGTTTTTATAGCATTTCTTCTTCGTACGTTTGCAGCAAAAAGAAGCTCTGTGCAATATATGGCAAATGGACTGATTGCCTTTACACAGTAGACCCCGCTGCCTTTGATGCCCACAAAAAGAGTGACAAAAAGAATCTGGATGAAAAGAAGGGGAATAAACAGGTATTACGTTGTATTGCTTTAAAAGTCTACTGTGTTCTGCCTGTTGTTCTGGGTAAAACGTTCAGTATGTCTGTGTGTCTCTGTTACCCCAGAGCAGTGTGGACGAGGAGCCGGAGGAAGTTCCTCCACCTGACGCTGAGAGGGTGACGGTGATCCCCGGCAGCGAGCTCATCTGGAAGATAACGCCACGGCCAGACAACTCCGCCAAGGTACCGGAGACAGGACAACAACAACACTATACTCCGACTTGTTATGACTTTTTTGTGATAAATAATCATATTTGACTTTTGACCTTTTTATAACAAATTGGACTTTTTGAAGTCTTTTTTCTTATACTTTTTTATGGCTTTCTTTACATAGTGAAACTATAATGTTAGGACTTTTGTATGATGTGGAATCCTATATGAAGTATTGAATTAGATGTGTTGTGATTTTCATGTCTTGAAAAAACAGTATTGCAAAAAAAGAAAAGTATTGTTTCCATAACGAAAAGATAAAAGTATGAAAATCTATTGAAAAGTCCGGAAATGTGAAATGTGAGGAAACCCTGTATGTTGCTGCACATCCTCTGACAGTTGAAATGTTGTGGTAATATATTCTCTCTTGCAGTTCTATGCATTCTCTTCCTTTGCATTGCACCTAAATGAGTTGGAGAAGAGCATGGAGGGAGTGATTCCCCAAACAGACAGTCGCTTCAGACCTGATATATGCGCCATGGAGAATGGAGATATAGGTACATTGTATAACCTAGAATGAGGCCACATTACTACATCTGCTTAAATACCTTCCCTGGTGGTATTCATGTTTCTAAATCTATGCCTTTTTTTTTATAGATTTGGCAAGTGCAGAGAAGAAGAGACTTGAGGAAAAACAGAGAATGGCCCGGAAAAATCACACCAAATCAACAGATGAATGGAAAAACAGGTTAGTTAGTAAATATGATGTTGTGCGCTCATTGCCCCATTGCTATTTGTTAGACTAATTGCCTCCCTGTTGTCTTGTGTTATCAATTATGCCAACCCTGTATAATAATTGAGAAGGAGCGCTGCACTTGGTCCAAGGTTTGGTTTTAAGCTTTGCTTTCTGCTTTGTGTTTATGTGAAGTGCTGCACTACACCACCCTCCCCAGGATAAAATATGCAACTACAGCTTTGTGTTATTGATGGATTTGACAAGACACTCATACATTTCATTGGAATTTAGTTTGAACAAGGAGGACTAGTATAATGTTTGTAGTGTTGTGATATTTGTGTGTTTTTAATTTTGTCTGTGACTTTTAAATCTATTTGCTACCTCAAAGTGCTTTACTTTTATTAAGTAGATGTTTATCATTGTTAAAACTCTGCAGGTGGTTTCAACAAGGACCCAACCCTCACACCAAAGCTCAGGACTGGCTCTACTCGAAAGGCTACTGGGGGAGAAACTACACTAATCTAACTGAAATCTACTAATATGTAGAAAATACACACAAATTGCATACAAACGGATGTCTTCTTTTACCACCTTTGAACTTTAACTGCTTTACTGGGGTTCATGCAAGGGCTCCATAGGAGATGCAACTATAGAGTGGTGCAGGAAGGAATCCTTAAATCTGTAAATAAGTTAGCATTTAACACTTCCGGATCCTTTGTGATAAAGTCAATATGTATTTTTTTTAATATGCTTTTGGTGACTTGCTTTTGATATAAATGACTGAGGTTGGTGATTAACACTAGTTTAAGATATTGTACTGTTCTGTTGCTCTACATAAATACTACGCTTTAAGCTTTTACCTGTCTTTAAATAGGTGGTTGCTAACAAGTGGCTAAATTAAACTACCAAACAGCATCACGCCAAACACTAGTCTGCCTTTAGCGTAGTGGTGGTGACCTCAGCTATGCAACTGTGTAGATTGTTTATAGCCTTACGTTAGCTATGGTCTCCTGGCGGTTGAATGTATGCCTCAATAATAGATGTGGCTTTAAGTTGTTAAGATTGTCTTTCTGAACAATACGTGTACCGTAATTTTCGGACTATAAGGCGCACCTGAATATAAGGCGCAGCAGCGGCATACCACTCTCGGTTCCACTTTTACTTTTGCGCGCTACCTGTCTCACTCTTTTCCGGCCTCCAGCTTTTCCTGCTGGAACCCGCCGCTTAAAGGTGGGGGCCCGCGGACCGGCCATAGAGCCCATAGAGTTAAAGGTGTTGGCCGTTAGCTGTAAAAATCCATAGATTAGCCGCACCGTTATATAAACCGCAGCGTCGAAAAATAGGGAAAAAGGCGCGGTTTATAGTCCGAAAATTACGGTACTTAACCTTTTGTTTGTCATTGAGATATTTAAGAGTCTAATCCAAAGCCTGATAGAAACATCCTATTGACTTCTTGTTATGGGAACCAATNACTACTTTCCAGAAGTCGGGTAGACTTATGTGCAACGCTTTTAGTCTCTATACAGGTAAACATAGTTAAGGACTTAATACATTATAATTAAGACATTTATTTACATTGGAAAAAGTTTTGTGGTATGGATATGATTATTGGTAGGAAGTGGGTGACATTTCTTTTGCTATTAAATTCACAGAGAACCGGTTAGACAGATCTACAACTGATTGCAGAAAAACCCCGAAAAACAACTGCTTACATTTAGTCACAATTACATGCATTAATTTAGCTACCAATTGAAAACGTAGGGAATGGTTTCCAAATTGCCTATTTGCAAACCTCATTGCACTATAATAGTATCGCAAGCAGCTGTCCGAGTTATATAAACTCTTATCAGTGTGCTAAAAATGCATCGTGCGCTGAAGGTAAAATGTTTCCAATACCAGCAAGAGTTACTCCACAAACACACAATTAAGGTGCACTCCATCTATCTTAAACATATACCATACATATTTCTAAAATACATATCTAGTTTTTCCAATTACATTGCCTCTATCCACACCAGTGGACATGAACCACAATAAATAAGAAAAGGTTGTTGTGCTTCATGTTCACACATTGAAGAATGTCTCTGGTTTTCAGTTTCTTCTTCAGACTGAAAACTCATCTCTTTGGACTCCACTTCGAGAGATAGAATTATTAACAAAGCACTTATATACTAATAAAGGGCTGGCTTATCTAAAGCCAGTTGAGTAGCACTTGAAATGTTTTGGCTCTATGAAACCTGATGTACTTATATGATTCTGTTTACTTCAAGGTTGTATCTTCCTGGTCGAATGCACTTATTGTAAGTCGCTTTGGATAAAAGCGTCAGCTAAATGCAATGTAATGGAAAATATATTTTAAAAATATATATTTTTCTGCAAGTGAAAATTTCATCACTAAGTTCATTTTTTTCCTACAAGCTAAAAAACTTTTTTTCTTCTTCTGTGACTTCAAATTTGGCTCACAGTTACGTGGATATTTTATACAAGTGTAAATGTATGCACACAAGCGCAGATCTTTTTTCTGCAAGTGCTCACATCAGGTTTTACACGCTCTCGCATTTTGCACCATATCTATCTTCATAGTTTGGTACCTTTTTAGAAAATTACGCACAAATGATAAACTCCTCCGATATCGTAAATCACATTGCAATATCAGTCAAATGAATTACAAGTTATTTTTTCTAAATGTCAGCTTTTACAGAGTTCATTACAGAGTTGCAGTCAGGACAGGGTTAGCCTAGCTTAGCATAAAGACCAGTGGTGGACAGTAACTACTTACACTTACTAAATTATTGTACTTAAGTACAATTTTAAGTTACTTTAAAGTGGACCTATCATGCTATATTTGAAACATATATTGTAGGGCCATACCTATATAAAACATTTTTTTTTCAAAATACCAAACGGATCATGCATTTTAGCCATTTAGCTCTATTTGCTCTTTTCCAGCCCTGTTTTTGCAAGGGCTGATTCTGCTTTTGTGGCAGACTACAGCGCCACCTACAGGCCTGGCATATGTACTACAGCGTCTCCAGCGCTTTCGACCGGCCATGGCAATTGCCGTGGCCCAACCCCCCATTCCCCTGATAGGTGGAGAGTTGCCCATATAGGCGGAGCACCCCTTTTCTGACGTCAAAAAAATTCAAATCTGTATCAGATGCATTTTGCATGATAGGTCCCCTTTTAATTTAATATTTCCATTTGATGCTACTTTATACTTCTACTCCACTACATTTAATAGGGATATAATGTATGTAACTCGACTACATTTTATTTTAAAGCTTTAGTAACTATTCAGATGAAGATTAAACATTGGTTTAACACGATGGATCTCTAAAGATTAAACCAGTGGAATAAAAGTTTGAGATAATAATAATAATAATAATAATAATAATAATGATGATAATTGATTTCAGCACTTTTCCAAGGGCTCAAAGCGCTTTACATTACAATATATGAGATATATTAGACATGTAATACATCAGTACTGTGGACATTACCCACAGGAACTATTTTCGGTTGAAGAAAAAAGCTGTGAACATAATTATCTCTGAATCAGATCTTTTATTGTGTACAGTAAAATGCTACTCTTATAATGTCATACGTATCTATAAATATTAAATATCACATACGAACGCAAAATGCACATCATCCATCTAACATGACTCTTTCAGAGCTTTGTGTTTTTGGATCAAACAAAGTAGAATACAGTGTTATGTTATGTTATACAGTATATCATTGGTGAGCGCCACAGGTGTTGCCAGGTGACAGAGCCAGACCAGCTGTTTCCTGTTTTTATACCAAACATGACTTTCCACTTCCCTTACAAAATATGTAAATATGTATATGAGCAGCACTGTACGTATGTTATGGATCTGTGAATGTTTTTTAATGTTGGACAGTGCCTTCTCTTCCCCTCAGTGATTTGGAAAATCTATTCATGTATGCAGTGCAATAAGACCCAGATGGCCTCGTGTTACACACCGTGCTCAGCCAGGCTCTAACTGACGCTCAGCTTTAAATCAGGCGTGGAGTTACAGTGTGTATGAGCAGGGTTGTTGTTTCTGCTGGACATGTGTGTGTGTTGCTCCTTGACAGTGAAGCTCAGTACATGATCGTCCTGTTCATGGTGTTCATCGTGCAGTTCTCTGTTTCCAGCGCCTGCTTGGCCATCAACAGAGAGCAACAGGTACGATACACAGCAGCCTAGAGGAATCCCATTCAGCTGGGTGCACTGACAACTGTACTAGAAATCAAATTAAATTTAAATAGATAAATGTGTGCTCTCTCTCTCTCTGTCTCGCTCGCTCACAGAGGCTGTGTGCTTGCGTTAAAAAATTATAATAAACATAGGCCTATTTGTAAAGTGGGGGGACACAAACAGGATTTTGAAAAGTGTCACGGTTAAACTCCTTGTGAAGTGGTGAGGTGCCGCTCCACATTGCTTTTCTTCCCGACTGCAACGCTGTAAATCATTTTGGTTTCAGTTGTGTGTGTGTGAGCAGGCTCGGATTGGCCATCGGGAGATTCGGGACTTTTCCCGGTGGGCCGCTGCCTTTGGTGGGCCGCTGGCTCTGACATAGTTGGGCCGTGGACTTTCACAGTGCCGCTGCGCCGGTACCGCACCCGCCACCGCAAACACCCGCCGTTGCGAGGCTCCGGCGCTGTGAAAGTCCACCGCCGTTGCGAGTCCCCGGCTGTAACAGTCCACTAACGTCCGCGAGGACCCAGGTTCGATTCCGGCCTGAGGTCCACATTTATTTTTATTTTTTTAAAAACTCCCGTTCATCGCGTCCATTAGCGACCCACCTATCACATCTCTGCGCCCCACCAGTGGGACGCGCCCCACACTTTGAAAAACGCTGCATTAACCACAGATCATTGTTGTAGGTGTTCTTATAAATAACATTTGTGGGCAGCGAGGGTATCGATATGTCTGAGAGTGCTGACCCCAATGCTTTTTAGAAGGCCTATCTATATATAACTTTTATTTGATTCATTAATTTGCTTTCTCCTTCACCATGCAGGAGGACTTTGCAGGCTATGACTTTGAGAACAGGCTCCATGTCCGTATTCATTCAGCTCTCGCCTCCATGACGGCTGCTGCAGCCCAGCCTTGACATTTTATCCACACCTCAGAAAGAACTGGACGAAGTGTATTTTTAAAAAGCCAAAATACCTTTGGAATCACTAATGTTACACTGTCAGGATTTATTTATTTTTATTTTTCTATTTCCATATTCTGAGCCAATGCATAATTTTAAAGTGTGCAATATGCTGTATACAGTAGGCGTTATAGGAGAACAGTCAAAAGGTATATTATTCATGTTACCGTTTTTTGTACATGTGCAAATCAAAATGCAAGTCGAATCAGATGACAATCTTTAAATACAATTGTGAAAAGCATCAGGCATTGATCCACAGAGGGACTACTTTTCCTCTGATTATGAGAAAAGTCAGGTTAAATAGAGCAATGGCACAAAGCGTTGACTGACAAAGCAATCAAATTAATGACTCAGCCACCTCAGTGTTGTTTGACAATGTTACATTTGTGATGTAAATGCTTTGCTAATTCATAGGCATGAGTACTACGGTAAATGATTTTTTAGCGTAGCCTCTTTTTTACCGGACTTGTTTTTATCAGTGTAAATGTCTCGCACACAGGTTTTAATAGTTGTGCCAACATCATGTGAGAGGCCTAGGTGCAGCATGCTACTGTAGGCCATACAATGGTCTTTATTTATATTGTTTTAAGATAATAAATATTGTAAAATGGATTATGGTTGTACCCTCTTCACTTGATTAGGCATACATTACATGATTAATGCACATACAACAAAGAACTGATGGCAAACTTTATTTTTTTCATCAATTATAAATGAACAACAAGGTGTATCTGGTGCATTCATTAAATACTTTTAATGGGGTTAGTTTAACCTCAATGCATAAAATATAAAAACGCCTAAACATGGAAACAAAAATAAATCTTAAGAAAGGGGCTAATTACTGCCAATGATTTTCAAACTTGTTTTTTTTTTCTTCAAGTCCTTTAGGGGTCTAAGGATAAATTGTGAAATCAGTAAGCATTATTTGGTTGTAAATCACCAAAACAGGAAGGCCAAGACAAATGTCATGACTGGTCGCCTGGGGCTTAATAAGTAGGATATGGCCAATGGTAGGCCAGACAGTGGGGTTGACACTACCTTGTAAAATATGTCAATAACGCTTAGCAAGCATGAGAAGAATAGCACAAACCAAAAAAGTTCAATCAACAATAAGCTTTTATTTAGCAACAATAGAAATTCTGTTCTGATACCCAAAAGAGCGATAACAGAAAAACACCTAGAACCTACAGCAGCTATCTACAACTTTAGAAAGGGAATATTCAGTGCTTGATTGTGAGGGTAAGGCTTGCATAGTTATAGTGATGCACATGCGTTTATTGTCATAGTTTCATTTTAAATAGATATAGCTAAATATAATCAACTATGGCAAGACTTTAACAAACACACACGTTTCATAAGTGCAGAGCCAGCTTCCCTGCTTTAGTATAGTTAGAAAAAAGTACTACTGTGTCCAGAGTCGGGTAGACTTATGTGCAACGCTTTTAGTCTCTATACAGTACATAGTTAAGGACGTAATGACATTATATTTAAACATTTATTTAATTGAAAAAGCTTTGTTGTGGTAGTGGATATGATTCTTGTAGGATGTGGTGACAATTTCCTTGCTATTAAATTCACAGAGAAACGGTTAGACAGATCTACAACTGATTGCAGGACACCGAAAAACAATCTGTTAAATTAGTCAAATTACATGCACCATTAATTTAGCTACAAATTGAAAACGTAGGGAATGTTTCCAAATTGCCTAGTTGCAAACCTCATTGCACTATATAGTATGCAAGCAATGTCCGAGTTATATAAACTCTTATCAGTGTGCTCAAAATGCATCGTGCGCTGAAGGAAAATGTTTCCAATACCAGCAGGAGTTATCCACAAACACAATTAAGGTTGCACTCCATCTATCTTAACATATAAATACATATTTCTAAAATACATTCTAGTTTTTCCAATACATGCCTCTATCACACTCAAGTGGACATGAACCACAATAAATAAGAAAAGGTTGTTGTGCTTCATTGTTCACACATTGAAGAATGTCTCTGGTTTTCAGTCAGTGTTGCCTTCAGACTTTTAAAGCATATTTGTTTAACCCTACCTGGTGTTCTGCAAGAACTCCATGATATTAAAGTGGTGCAGGGCAGAGTCCTGCATCGGGTCGGGTACCCGACGGGTGACCCGCAAAAAAGGTGATTCGCGGGTGGTATTTTTTCAAACCCTTTTTTCCGGGTTCGGTTCTGGGTAAAACAAAGATGATGCGGGTCGGGTCGCGGGTGTTGCATAATAAATATATTTAAATAATAATAATGTAGTTTAATGTTTAAATCCTCAGACCTCTCCCCCGCGGGACTGTGCATAATCATAACCTCTGCAGCGCATCATCTGCTTCTGAGCGCGCCACATTCTGAATGGCTGAGGTGAAGCTCTCTAGCGGAGAATACAGCATTTTCCAACACTTCCTCAAGAGCGAAATCCAACGTCTGGGAGGCTTTTGGTGTCCTCCTAGATGGAGAGAATAACCAACATCCCACGCTTTTTGAGAGAAATATGCAACTGCGTGTGTTAATAATTGCACGTTTTCACTGCTCATATATATATGCGGGTTCGGGTCGGGTTGCGGATCCTGTGCCGACGGGGCGGGTCGGGTTGCGGAACTAATTGGTAATATGTGCGGGTAGCGGGGCGGGTTCGGTATTGCACGTCGCGGGTGCGGGGCGGGAGCGGGTCTTGAAAATCAGACCCGTGCAGGACTCTGATCTGAAGTAAACATTGAATACTGCTTTCTATTCCTCCACCTTGTGACTGTGGAACTCCCTCTCTTGGATATCAGCATGTGAAGNTCTGTATGGAAGAGGATTAGGGCCACATCATTTTTTTTCTCAGAATTCTGACTTTAATCTCAGAATTCTGACTTTAATCTTAGAATTCTGACTTTTTTCTCAGAAGAAAAAAGTCAGAATTCTAAGATTAAAGTCAGAATTCTGAGATTAAAGTCAGAATTCTGAGAAAAAAAATGATGTGGCCCTAATCCTCTTCCATACAGAGGTCTGATAAACACTCCTTTATTTGTGCCATAGACTGTTACATTACATTACATTGCATTTAGCTGACGCTTTTATCCAAAGCGACTTACAGTAAGTGCATTCGACCAGGAAGATACAACCTTGAAGTAAACAGAATCATATAAGTACATCAGGTTTCATAGAGCCAAACATTTCAAGTGCTACTCAACTGGCTTTAGATAAGCCAGCCCTTTATTAGTATATAAGTGCTTTGTTAGTAATTCAATCGCTCGAAGTGGAGTCTAAAGAGATGAGTTTTCAGTCTGCGCCGGAAGATGTGTAAGCTTTCTGCTGTCCTGATTTCAATGGGGAGCTCATTCCACCATTTTGGAGCCAGGATAGCAAACCCACGAGTTTTTGCTGATGGGAACTTGGGTCCCCCTCGCAGTGTGGGTGCAGCGAGCTGTTTGGCTGATGCAGAGCGGAATGCACGTGCTGGGGTGTACGGTTTAACCATTTCCTGGATGTAGGAAGGGCCAGATCCATTCACAGCATGGTACGCAAGTACCAGTGTCTTGAAGTGGATTCTAGCAGTTACCGGAAGCCAGTGAAGGGAGCGGAGGAGCGGCGTGGTGTGGGAGAATTTNGAGAGAGCTAGAGAGAGCACACATTTATCTATTTAATATAGCCTAGGTGTAAAAAATAAAGTAAGAAATCATTCCAATGTGTGCTATAGGACAGTAAAAAAAAATAAAAAAGTTTAAAAGGGGAGTGATTAGTAAAAAATGCTAACTAGGTAAGATCAAAATAAACATGTTTAAATGATTTGTTATTGGTTTTGATCATATTCTAAAGATGTTTGGATTATTGAAAAGTATACAGCTCCCTTTCAGTGTGTAGAGAGCTGTATCACTATCCATAAATTCATTTTTTGCTCAAAGTGCACCAGATTGAGGCATTTCACTTCAACATTAAAAAAAACTCTTCCCGGGGGTGCATGCCCCCGGACCCCCTTAGACGAGGTGAGTTCCACACCCAAATAAAGCAGGTTAAAATAATTAAATTGCATACATTTTCTTTTAGTAAACATTGAAAACGGGTCCCACAGACCCAAACAGCACACAAAGGTTAAAGGTCAGCATATAATAATGTTCAAATGTGCTAAATATATACAGTGCAAAAAAACTAAAAAAGAGGAGTAAAAGTAGCTCACGACTTGTTTTATTTTTTGAAAGTAGCTCTCATCCTAAAAAAGGTTGGAGACCCCTGTTATAGAACGATACATTTGACAATTTTAAGCTTGGCCTACCATTTTATTGGAGCGATGAGGAACAGGTGGGGCTTGAAAAGGCCCACCTGTTCAAAGTGGGGAATGACAGAAAAAGTTTGAGAACCACTGGGTTAATGCAACCACATACTGTACTAGATAGCAACAAACTGTTGTAAGCCGTATAGGAACTGCTTTCGCAACATCTGTTTTGTCACAATTTTTCCTTATTACCAAAGATGTGCAGATGCCTCCCTGATTACTCTCAGCTCAGTGTGGAATGGTTTGCTGTTTCCTGTTCACAGTGAGATCAGACAAAGCAAATACTCCAGCCTAAACCAACACGGCGCTAGGAGGTCTCACTCTCCTCTCATGGTGCACAGCATTCCTGATTTCCTCAACATAGGGCAGCATAACAGCATAAGTCTAATTGACGTAGGAAGACGTAGTGATGGGAACCTGGCATAGCTTCAGCCAGTCACTCTGACTGCTCCAATGGCAATGTTGCCTGTCCTTGTCCCTTCAAATGAGCTACAAGGTGGACACGTCTGCCTCTCTCAGAGCTGCTGCACAGGTTTCCTTCTCAGGGAGTTATTTTGTTGGTCTGTGCCTCATGTATGAGGGCTTAGCAGGGGATGACAAGCCTCTCTTGGACAAAAGAAATAAGAATCTATAACCGTGGCCTTTTGGAGTTTGTTGGTTGCTATTCTTTTCACTATTAAAAAAACACCACTTTAACTCTAAAGCATTTAGCCTGCCGCTCCTTTATTTGAAATGCTGATCAGGCAGCGAGTGTATTGATCTGTCGGAGGGTGAAAACATCCTTAAAACGTTTACAAGACCTTGATGCAAAGTGTTGACTATGGGCAGAAATAATACAAACATTGTCTTATTTCAAAAAATAAGTGTAATAAACGATTTGATCACAGATCTTAGAGGAGATCTATTGATAAAGCTTGCTAAAATCTACTTAAGCAAATGCAAATTACACAAATCTCATGCAATGAGGAAAGCTACTGTACCTTAGCCTGGAGCATCAGCATTCTACCCTTCCCGGCAGACTGGAAAGAAAACACAATAAATTATTTAGACTATGTGACTTTTCCACCATCTCAGATTAGGAAACTGTCTCTCTTTCTAACACGCACGCACGCACACACACACAAACACACACACTCTTGCCTCTGGGGTGTTTAGCAGCACACAGGCCAGTTCATAGCAGGAGTAGGGCTGCACATAAGAGTTGCTCAGGTGGCCAACCTCATCCCTTGCAGCCAGTTGGAAAAACTGCAAAACAGGCAGAAAAAATACTATTATCAGCACAGTACTGACTTCTGTGTGAATAATACACCGTTTCACAAGCATCCTGCAATGCTTCATATTCCACACTTTAATACATTTTATTATGAATATGACGTAGGAGTACCTGAATGGCATCGTTTGTGTTATGAAGACATCTGTTTATGGAACCGAGAAGCAGGTTTTTCAGGCCTTCACATGAGGCGTCATCAATCCCCTGCAGCACTAGAACAAGAAGATAACAATTAAGCTACCCCTGAAGACACAACAACAATGTGCAAGACAACACAGAGGAACTAGTTTGGTGGTTGAAACGTTTTAAAATTCGAGTACCTTGTGACATTGTCTGAAGTTTGGCGGTGGAGCAGTTTGGTAGAGCTTTCCACAGATAAAGAATCTCAATCACAGACAGGATGCAGAGCTCTTTGGATAGACTGGGGGTCCGTAGCTTCTCAGCCTGTTGTAAATGTGTGCATACATGCTTAATCTCACTGTATTTTCCACCTAAGATATTAAACAGAAAATATGCTGGGTACATACTAACCCTCTTCATAGCGAACAGCTCTATCTGATTATTCTTGCGTTTGAAAAATGTTTCCACATCCTTGAAGACAGTGATAGCTCCCTCTAGATCACCTGTGGCTCCTCGGCACGCTAATCAACACATACAATATAAGAATTAGGAGCTAATAGCAATCTCTTAGATGTGCGATTAAAGCCATCTTTGTTTGTACTGTTACCACCTCCAGTTAAATAGGCGTAATAGCACTGGGACCAGCGAGACTCCGTCTTCAGTCGCTCAAAGGCCCTGTAGGCTTCTCTGTAGCTCAGCTCGATCATGCTGCACCAACCTAAAAGGTTAAACGATCAATGTTTATGATGCAGACTAGCGCTGAGCAATGTGGTTTTAAATCTGAGAGGGAATATAGTACCTATTTCATACAAACACACGTGCTGAATCTCCCTCTGATCAGAAGCCAATTCTAAGGCATCACGGAAGGATGTCAAGGCACTACTGATCTGGCACTGGAGAGAAGAACTTTGTTATCCGAGTAACGTGCTGAGACAATATTGGCAATGCATAATATTTACTAAGGCAGGAGAAAAGGACACATAGCAGGACACATAGGGTTCTTTCTTCAAATTCACCTCGAGGCGTTGGACTCTGCCTTTGAAAAACATGAAGAGGGAGGAGTTTGGATAGATAGCCTCTCTTTGTTGGAGAATGGATTTGGCTTCCATCAGACCTGCCTGTGTGTCTGAGCCATCGAGAGCAAAGAAGGGCTGCACTACTGTGTGGTACCACAGGAGGGCCAGGCTGTGAGGGGGGGGGGGCACAGACTGAGTGAGTGTAAAGACAACACCATCTGGTATTAAATTAGATCAATCTGTAATGATTGTTAACTAACAGGTTGATTAAGTGTGATTAACCATATTGAAAAATCACTAAACAGCATTATCTACCATTTTTCTGTACATCAACTAGACATGTTTCAGTTCCAGACAGACTACAGAACCACAGACATACTCACTCACATACTCACGTAGCTAAAGGGGCCTTCATGTCTGTACTTTCACTGGCGTACGTGAGCGCTGACAGGCCTTGCAGGCGGTCACCAGGGAAGCCCAGCAGGTTGACGATCTTCAGGAGGTGGGGGGGCACCATGGAGATGCAGAGGTGGAAGAGGCCATAACCGAAGCTGACGGAACCTTTAAGTCGGTCCAGAGCCTCGGGGCTGATGCCGTCCGGTCTGAGGGAGGGGCTCGGCCCGGGGGAGGAGGAGCGGCTGTGGTGTGACGCGTCAGATGAGGACAGAGATGGAGGCCCCGCCGCTTGCTGCTGGGAGGCTCTTCTTCTGCTGCCCTCCTGCAGGTGTGTGATGTCGCTGTAACATTTGTTGTACATCTTCCAGGCTTTACGGAGGATCCAGCCCCCTTTGATGTATGCTGTCAGGAGATTGAATAAACAAAGAAATATGCATATGGTCCAATATTAAATCAGATTACACAACTGCAGAGATGGCAAAAGTACACACATCCTTTACTCAAGTAGAAGTACAGATACTCGTGTTTAAAAATACTGACTAAACTTCTTTACTCAAGTAAAAGGAAAGAAGTATTGGCTTCGAAATGTACTTAATTAAAAAGTACCCATAACTACCGTCTGTTTTAAAGAGTAACTGACCTCATTTTATATTAATAGAACAATAATTGTTAGCTAATGAATGTTTCGATGCTGAACAACGGCAAAGATTACAACATTTTCATTGGTCGCTCTTGTTTAGAGAAGACCAGGAAATGATGGATACACGGATCAATCAATAGGCACGCATTGCAATGCCTAATAATGATCACGCCACCAAACGGAGATTACAAATAAAGTAACGAGCCTGTTTTGAAAATGTAAGAAGTATAAAGTACAGGTATTTGTGTTAAAAATGTAAGAAGTATAAGTAAAAAGTCATCAGAAAAATAAGCAGTGCAGTGAAGTACTGACACCAGAAAAATGTACTTAAGTACCGTAACGTAACGTAACGTAAGTACTTCCCACCTCTGCACAACTGCTGAATTCAATATTTTCTTTTCACACAGATGAATGTGCAGCGTTCATAGTTTGACAGCAGGTATTAAAAAGGTCCCCTTACACGACAGCTCTTGTTTGATGAAAGACAGCACTGCAAGGTAAACCTGGCAGTCAGCGATGATGATCTGCCTCTGGAGCCGGTCCACTGCAGCCACCCCCGACCTCTGGGAGTGCATCTGCCCACACAAACACCTCACTCTTTCAGACTGGTGTGACAGGCACACTCACAAACAGCAAACCTGACCATGGTGCAACCTGAAATGTTCTCTCTTTTAAGGCAAATAAAATGTGTTTTATATATCTCATAAACATTCAATTAAATTAAGTGTTGAAATGGATACTCACAGTCCTCTTGAGTTTGTTTTTAATGGTCTCAATGACACCAGTGTTTTCACTCTCGCACAGTCGCTCTGTAGCTTTGAGATCCTCAAAGGCCATCTGCATTTTCTCCTCCTCAAACGTCATCATGGCATTCTACAAAAAGGAAGCCAGATAAATAATCCTTTTATTTACATTTGCCAACCGAATGCTGGTAAAATATGCAAGTGGCAACACATGTGTCACCCACCAGCCTAAAGAACTATGGTCACATATTTAGTGGCTGGTAAAAACGTTCAAAAGCCATTTGGCTGTCGGACAGATTGTTAATTTTTAACCCGGAATACAACTGTTCCAAAATGAATGCTGGTGATTTACAAGTTAAGCAAAACGTCTAATCCTGGATTAAACTAGGAAGCAGAAAAACAAAATGAAACTGCACTAATCAGTCTTCTTACTTTAATACGAACAAACCAGTCTTTCCCTTTAATATATTTGGGATCAGCTTGGCAACTTGCCATCTGAAAAAGTAGCTTAATTTAATCTTTAGGTGACCAGTGCTTGTACATAGCTAAATTAAAGAGATGTGTTTCTAAAATGTAGATGACCACAGAATGGAGCTGTAAATGTTAAAATAGGAAACATATGTATTGTAATGTAGAATATAATAAGCACACTTTTTTTTTTTAAAGGGAAAAGCAAGTAAGATTGTACTGTTGACTCCTGTTTCCATGGCTAACAATTCTGGCTCAAATGTGTAGGTTATGTTTATCTCTTAACTTTCTTTTAGTTGTTTGTATGTGGGTTGCACTTACAGTTGATGTTGTGACGATTGAGTATGTATTGCAACTAAGGGCATCAATTAACTCATAGACACAATAGAAACCTACTTGTGTGTGCCAGAAAAATAATTTAAGAAAGTCTTGCATTGTGCCTCATAGGAAAAACAGGGGGTATTCCTTGAACCCTTTCATCAAATATAAATGTTTCTTAAATGTAAACAGTAGAGTACTCTAGGCTCACCAGAAAACTCACAAAACTGGCCCCGAAACTCATCAAAGGACTTTGGTTCCTGAAAAGAGGACAAAGAACAAATAGGTGACAAGTCAGTGAACGACGTACTGCGGGAAGAGGTTAAAAAGTTTATATGAGAAGTTCATGGGTGGAGTGACAAAAATGTGTTCAGCCGGTTACCTGCCTCAGGCACTGGATTGAGGACACTCAAAACATGAACAACATAAAGCTCACGATGACAGTAAGAGCAACTGGATTCATTAGGAATGTGGAAAGGCTTACTGAACCCGTTTACCTACTCTCCTATACCCATAATGCAACACAAAATGCCAAGGGTCAGAGAGCCAGGGGAACCTTATCAGGGAAGTGGTTAATACAGACAGTCACAAGCCCATTCTCAGTTTCTGTATTACACATATTTCACTTCCTTCCATCATTTTTGCTGATGCAATCAAACAGGATAATCCCTAGTGCTAAATGTAATTAGTGGATAGGGTGACATTTAAGCTTTCACCAGGGGTTAGGACACATAGAGCGTGACCTTCTGTGGAATCAGCATTCGAGTTGAAAGCAAACCTTTCTTAGAGATGATAAGGCCTTATAATAACAGCACAGGACGATTGAATGTATAACAAATGCTGCAACAATGAGCGTACTATGGTGCAGTGAGTGACCCTTGACAGGCTTTGTGAAGTCAATTAAACCAGTGTTTGGCTTCCTTTTTATTTAATAGTCCTTATAGAAGGTCAACCAAAATAAATGCAATATAGGGATGTAACAATATCAACATTTTAGTATACAATTATCATGAACAAAACAATTGAGGTTTAGAGTATTGGACTATTTATAGAAAGCTTTGAAGGAAGAAAATAATAATAATGCTACCAGTCAAATTAGGTAATCTTCATGCAATAATGGCAAGAAAATATGGAGATATTCTACTTTTCTGAATATCTTTAAAAATCCAAAGAAAGCACAACAAGGTATTTAAAGACTTTGGAGTAGTGAATAATCTGCAGATAAATCAACAATAAAACATAGTTGTAAATTGCATTAATTGTTAATATTGCAAATATTATTAAGCGAAGGATTGTGGTTTATTTTAGCTTTCTTTTACAGTAAAAAAAAAAAGGTATTGTATCCCTTCAGAATGAGCTCACAGGATAGGAAGAATCTACTGTACGAGGGAACAATTTGCAAGTGTAATGCTTTCATTTAAATTACTGGGTCAACTTGGTTTTGCAAAAGAAGCCTAGACACAGGTGCCACCTTCCAACAATTGACATAAGGTTGTGTGATATGAACACACTAGCTTGGATTTAACTCAAATATATTCAAAGGCAACTACTTGTACTACATAAATGCTAACCTGTTAAGCATTTTTTCTTCTTTAACCATTGTTATATTGACTCTAAATTATATTCTCAACACTTTAGGTATCCTATTAACATATAAAGGGAGCAATATTACATTAATAATAATGTATGTTGACTGTTTAAGCATCACAAGTTACATTGGGTGTGGATATTTGCCCAAGGTATTAAAACACCATTCATCCTGCTTGTGACATGATCATAATGGTGCCTCAGTAGACAAGCTTGACAAGGATGTTGAGGTTTTGTTTTGCAAGCAAAGCAAAGAAGACATTGCTGAAAGGAAAACATGTGTTAAAAGCTATGGTTAAAAGCTTCCACTTGTGCTGGTTAACCTCAGCAGTTTGGACACATTAGCAACAGTTAACATTTAACAACACACCCTGCAGAGAACACAGTATACATCCTTCACCAACATAGACAGAAAGAGTGTTTATAGTCTGCCTAACAGACACTCACAGACCTGTATAATTTGAAGAGCTCGTCGCTCTCCTTGAATCCATTGTTGAGCAGCATGTTTATTCCTTTCAGTGCCAGCTCTGCGTCGTTGATACCCTCTTTCTTCTCATCCTGTATGCTACCCGGTGCTGGTTCTACGGGGTCCGCCATTGAGACCGGAGGTGAGGTGCTGAACGCGGCCGAGGAGAGGAGGAGGAGGGAGGGAGGGAGCGGTATCGGTAGTTTTCTAACAGGCAGAGTAGTCTCACACAGTGACGCAGTTTTTAGCAAACGCAGTCATATTCGCATTGGTACATGATGAGACTGATAAACGAACAGGTTCAAATAACTAACTAACTACATGCATGTGTGTGTGTGTCTGTGCTCGCCGTTGACCCAGCGTTGTGTCTCTGTTCCGTGTTGTGAACGCTGGTTAGTGAGCACGGTGTGTACAGGAAATGTGCTGCCTTTGGGTGCTATCGTAACTATCGCAACCGAAGCGTTCGGTTAGTATGCTCCATATATTCGGAACAAACTCCCAGAAACCTGCAGGTCCGCTGCAAATCTTACTCTTTAAATCCAGGCTAAATACTTTTCTTTTTGCCACTCCTTAATTTAACCATTCATATCTTACACTGCACTGTTATTTTTAATTAATGTATTTAATACCTGTTGTATTCTATATCAGATAGTTTTGTCATAAAACTAGAGCATATATATTAATATTACATAACGGCATGTGTAAGTAATACAATGCTGCATTGATTTGGAGTAATAAGGTCACATGAAAAATGTTTGAACAATATGTCATTGACCCATCAAATGTTTTCCCTTTGACATTTCACCAGAACAGCACGCTTTCTGTCATATTTTATTGCAAACTTTATATTGATAGCTGTTACCGAACTGTTTACTTCTTGCGTCTCCAATAATTGGGGTATTACAGCTATCGTAATGTGAACAATTATTATTCAAATTAAACAATTCAATATTTTGGAAGCATCGTCATTTGTTACATTTTCTTTGGCATTTGCTTATAGCTAAACCTATGAGCTAACCATATTGAATTGGGTCACATCATTTGGTGAAGCACCTTTTTACAAGACATTGCAGCTTTAAGTCTTGAGTTCACCAAGTCCGTGAAGGCAGCATCAGAGTAGGCGTGGTGGTTTGTGATTGAGGGCTGTAGTCAAACAGATCGATAGATGTTAGGGCCTGAGATATGGTTTTGGAAATACTGAGGTCAAATTAAATCAGAGTCAATGCCTGCTCCACACAAGACATACATTTATATATATATTTATATATTTAGCTGAGCCACTCTACTCCCAAAAAGTAGGCACACTGAGATACATTACCATTATGTACTGTATTCATACAAAGCATTACAAAAAATATAATTATTTGCTAATTACATTTCTGTAACCGTACAATCAATTCAACAACTAATCCCACATTTCTGTGATGAAAAAGCATGGTTCAGTCCATAATAGTTTCAGCTATCACCATGATCACAAATCAAGACCTACAGTATGGCACTGACAAGTATTTATAAAGAATAGTGATTACAAAATGGCTTACAAATCAGTGGTCACAAGACAGGAATGCATATAACAATCCCCATGTCCAATCATCATGCATATTTTTCCTCATATCACAATTGTTTTACAGAAATGTACAACACAAGTAGGTAAACACTTGCTGGGGGTTTAAATACATCATGTGCATGTTGATGTTTTTTGTTATGTTACACACAGCATTATAGTAATATGGACTAAATGGTCCCAAACATTACTTGTGAGACTTATTTAAAGCTAATTGCATTTATATTGTTTTTTAACTCGTAGAAAATGCTACACAAACTTCAGTACATGCTGTTTTCTTGTGTAACTGATATTGACAGCCACACAGAACATCCCCATGCATGAAAAAGGAATGCAAACTGGAAAATTGATTCAGAACAATACGTGTACAGTTTAGGGGGAAAAACATGGGGGAAACCATTTGATTTCATGGCCTGTTTGAAAACTCTACTAAACCAGGTAAAATGTAGATTCTACATGCTGGCATTTGGATATGAAATTAAAACAGCCCCTTAAAAATCAATAAAACGAGCACCCTTGGTGTAAATGTAATATTTTTAGTAAAAACCTTTCAACAAACAAACAAAGAAAATCCACTAATAATGTTGATTTCCATTAAAGCACCATCACAAAAGGCATTATTTGTTTTCTTAAAGTGCTGGGTTGCTCCTGCTGCAGCCCTCACCAATCACAAGCATATTCAGTAGCATTTGATTGTCAACATTTATCAAAATGAATGGACCAACACATCAGACTGTAAAAGAACTGTTGAAATGTGTGAATTGGTGCCCTGATACATGATTCTTTTTTTTTATCACAAAATAAATACAGAAATACTTAACCGAGCAGCAAATAATATGAACCTGTAAGCGGCTGCTCATATTTCTATTTTACATGCAGACTCTCACACACTCATTCACATTGAAACACACTCCTCATAAAATATACATTCTTACACACAAACACATTCTCTGTCTGGGTAACAGATTGCACATGGTTGGCGGTGGACGTGGTCCCATGGTTTGTTTTCACGATGATGCATGGAGACGTTCAGCCTGGACATTCTTTGAGGTTGACCGGACCAAACGCACCAGACAACCTGTCGAAAGAGATGGACTCGCCGTTGATCCTCATGTCCTGAATGCATCCCACAAAGGACGATGTGACTGGGAGCGTCTGTTGCATTGACATCTCTGCAGCAGAAAGGTGCACGTGGTGAATACCTGATATGTGTGAATAAGATTCACTGAAATCATAGTAGATTAACTCTCAGATTATCAGATTAATACTCACGAGGAATGCCACCCACATACACAGAGTCTTTGGTCAAAGTTGTAGTGGAAGATGGTGGTCCAATCTTGTAATTGTCCATTGTGTCCACGTGCAGTTGCACAACATTTTTCCTTTTGATTACTACAAGACAAGCAGACAGTGACTCAACATGAAAGGTGATTTACTGTATATCAGTGTCCTAATAAGATTCTAAAAGCAGTTTAGTTTTTCTTGAAATATGTCTTTCATCAAGTGACTGTGTGCAATTTACCTGAAATTTTATGAAACATTCCATCACATAAAGAAGCTTTTGGCTTCACTGACACCATGAATTCCCCTTTGCCATTGTTTGCTTGTGCCACAACCTAAAAATGGGAGCATATCCAAACATAGTGCTTTTAGTCACAATGTCAGGGAACACACTTAAATAAAGAATGTAAGTCCCCAAAACAGGAATAAAATAATTTTATTTTTATTTCAGACCCAGTTCAACTGAATCTTTAGTCTATTTTCCAGAAAAAAACATGTTTTTTTGGTAGGAGTATCTGGTTTGGTAGCATTAAAGAGAACTCACCTCTCCTCTGAGCATGTACACAGTGAGGTAGTGACCCTCTGCAGGCCCATACTGGTTCATACTGGAAGCACCAACATGTAGCAGGAGTCCAGTTTGATTCCGTGGACGTATATTAAACAGCAGCTCAAAGTCTGAGCCCACAACAAAAGAGTCATCTGAAATGCAGAAAACATATACCACCATTACATAATTTGGACATGGCATATCAGAATAATGAGGAGACTGTGCAATGAAATAAAGTGGAATCTAATTAAATAAAAACATATAAATCCAACAAAGTGTCTTCAAATCTAATTTGGTTAATAACTTTAAAGACAATTAAATGGTTTCACGAATAAATCCATTCCAAGTAATGTATAATATAAAGATTTACTCAATGCAAAGAATGTAAATTGAACATGCAGAAACTAAAAAAAAAGAAAAGGGAATTTAGTCAATTTGTACATTTATTATTTTAAAAAAAAACATTACTTTGGTTTAATGTATCTTTTCTTAAATGTATGTTAATATTATATTAATGAGTTTATGATTTTATAACATCGCCAATTGTTCTAACTAATTCCCAGGTTTCTCCCAGTCAAATAAATATATTAAATGTTAAATTGAATTATATTTAAATATTGTGTAAGTATGCGAACTAGGCAAAATTAAATAATCCCTAGGCCTGTAAAACAATATATTTTCGGTTATCCATGTAAAATTAGTTGTGACTTGTTGAGAAGCCAAATTGTGTGGGGGTGGTTGCAATTCCTTCTTACTGTATCTCCAACAGAACCTGATGGAGATCATTATTGGGATGAGCAATGCTGCTTCAGAAAACTTTTACAGAAAGGTTTACTCACTGATAACGACATGTGCTCCATTCCCTGAGAAATAAGCCCCTCTTTGTGTCTGTCCCTCAAAGCAGGGACCCGCGCCGTGGTTGGAGGTTGGATTTGACATTGGTGATCCATTCATTTTAAAATTGCGGATACACCCGGATACACTTTGTCTTGGAAGAGCCTTCAACTTAAAAGAACGAAAAAGAAAATTGAATATGTGTGTGAATCGGTCAGTGAGTACTTCATTTTATTTCATTTCATTTTACCTTAAGCTCTTTGTGAAGGGACTCTGGAGCACTGCCCAGGTGCACAGGTGACACAAACTGCTGCATGGAATTCAACTCAGCAGTGGTCAGCTGACCATCCTGAGCTCTGATCCCATCCACGACCAATCGAAATTTCTTCTTCTCCAAACTGAACATGACCTTCAGGCAATATTGTCACCAAAGACATAAAGAATAATTAAACACTGACCCTTGCTTTATAATCTGGACTGAGTGGTAGCAGCAACATATTATGTGGTTAGTATGATATATTATGCAATTAGTATGATATAAATCCACTGACCGAGTGCCACTTTCCATCATTGTACTTCTCCCTGTTGAAGATCTCCTTCTGTTTGCCAACAGACAGTCTAATCCTGCCCTTGGATATGTATAAAGCGAGATGAGAGCGCCCCCCCCTGGTAGCAGCAAAGAACAGCAGGCCTTCACCAGCTCGAGTCCTGATATCCAGAGAGAAGTGGGGCCTGGGGAGGATGAACAAAGGCCACATTTTTAGTGTTTGTTTTTGTTGGCTTGAATATAACTGCGGCATAGTTCTTGAGATGACAGACTCATCCAAGCACATTATTTATAACAAAAATCAACCACTACATGTGTGTGTATTGTGCAATGGTGGCGTGGGACAGGTTTCTCACCTGGGCTGCAGGACCTGAAGTGGAAGACTGTAGCTCAGGCTGCTCACAGGGCCTCCCAGGCGATAAGCATTTTGAACCATGGTTGGTAATCGGCACGCTGATAGACTCTCATTTATCGCCTGCATCACAAAATCCTAAAAGAGCACAGACAAACAAGAGAGAAACACAGCACAAGGTTCCAAGTTAGCAATTATTGTTTGCTAACTCACATTTGGGGAAGTCTCCAAAGTGGTTCCACCCTGTAAGTAAATAAAGATGGGAGGGTATGGCAATGTTAGTGGTAGCCTAAACATGACTACAATTGTGGTTAGTATATCAAATATTATAAATAGGCTTTTTTTATGGCTCCACTCACAGATAGTGAAACAAAATAGTTTTTCCGCAGGTGAGAACACCAAGGACACACTGAATAAATAAATGGAGGGCTTTAACCAAAGGTTATTTTCATTTTTTACTCATCTGTCAATCTTTGTGTAGGTTGACTAAAAATACAATTTCAGTCAGTCAGAAAATGCCCATCCAATAGTGCAAAACCCCAATATAATTAGTAATCATAGAATCTAAGAACAAAAACAGCAAACCTGTTTAACTGAGAAGCTTGAAAATGTTGTTTTGCATTTAAATGACGCAAATCAAAATAATGCAGATAACTGTGGATCTACTATTATGATTAATCGACTCGTGCTTCTACGCATAACACATTTCTCCCAAAGAGACTTAATAACCAGCCTTTCATAGTTTAGATAAGAAGCCAAGTCTAGCATGCATGGTAGTAATGATTTCATCACCCAAGTAGTAAGTAGTTATTACAAGTTGGTCAGAGTGAATCTTGTAATCACAGTTACAAAATAACACACATCAGATTCTTTATTTTGGTGACACTGAGGTCAGGCATAGTTTCCTTTAGCAGCACCACCCACATTAACCTCCTGTTTACTCAGGGCTGTGGATGGTTTCAACATAGTTAGGAATTTTGTATTGTCCTTATTCGGTGCAGCATGCAGGAAAGTACATGCTTGTAGGATTCGGGTTATTCAATTTGGCATACACTCAAAGATAACAAGGACGAACCGCTAGTTGCAAGTTGAAGATATTTGTTTTACTTTTAACAGACTCAAATGTTTTTTTTGAAATGACTCATTTAGTCTTATATGACTCCTATTATATACAAAACACCACCGAAAAGAATCTCATTACACAGTGTAAAAAGATTTCATTACAGAATAAAAAAGAAAACCTTTCTTATGTTTTAGCTTTGATGCTTCCACTAAACCCAGACTGTAGTATCAACTGATTATTGCAGCGGCATGAAGGCATGGATCAGTGGACTGTGGGTTGCTGGAGAATAGGTTGTTGTGTTGATATGGTGTCTGTTAATCACATGCTCCAAATCAAATGGAGCTTAGTAATTTATGATGGGCATGCAAGAACTAGTGTTTGAAGAAATTAAGTAATCATGCTTTGATAATGTGTCTAAACACAGTCAGCTCCACTACGCCTCACATATTTCAACATGAAGTCTGGCTTAGCTTTGAAATACCAACATTTTGTCTTAGGAAATGCTTCCCAGTGTCCCATTGGCTACAAAGTGTAATACAATGTAGGATAGTGTTTCTCAACCTTTATGCTGGGATCCCATTCAGTTTTAAGAGTTTACTTAGAAAGGCTTTACTACCCCAAAACTACATTTTTTATCAAACCCTTTAAAATATAATTTGTGTCTTTTTGACACAATGTGTGAGATAATTTACTCAAAAAGTAAAATAGAACAGTGTGCTATAATTATATCAATAATATTTCTGCTGAAGAAGAGGTTGTTTTGTTGATATGGTTTCTGTTAATCACATGCTCCAAATCAAATGCATGGAGCTTAGTCAATTATGATGGGAACCTGGAGGCAGATCCTTTTGAATGTGTTGTGCATTAACTGTAATGATTAGTCATGTTATTTTAAAGTGAGGTTAAAAGGTATATCATTTTGTAATCAAGCATGTTTTGTGTTTCCAATAGTTATGACAATAGTGAGAGGTCACGTGCTTGTGAATGACTATTAGTACATTTTTTCAGTACTGAGTGAGATGAAAGAATGAAAAGAATGAAAGAGACATGAACTGATTTCAAGCTTGTTATTCACAAGGTTTTGTTTGTAATTAATGGATTTTGAATAGATTAGACATAGATACATTACATTTTATAACTCATGATTATTGGAATTGTTCATGCAACTTGTTTATTTAAGTACACTGCAGATGAATGAGCTTGTGCATAAGCAACAGAACATTATGGTGCAAACTGACAGTTTTTATTTCAGTATTAGATTCTTGTCAGCATCCTCAGGCAGGGCTCCTTCTTCTTCATCTCTGGAAATAAGGCAGCAAAGTAGAATGTAAACAATGTCAACATAAGACTGGGATTTTTAATTAGCTTTCAACAGTAGCATTACAACATGGCTCCACTGTATACATGAATTAAGAAGATGGGTATGACTTACTTATAGAGAGTTGAATCAATCATCAAACATGTTTATAAGAAACAGGCTAGTTTTTAAAGCTTAACATAAGATGGATTGCTCTAGTCGTTCAAGAATAAAGATGGATTTACTTTGGAAAGAAGTTTAAATTATTTCATCCAAATGTTTTTTCACTTATCTACAAAAATCAATAAACAAACTCTCACCTTCTTAGAGGCACGGTCCATCATCAGTTGAGCGAGTGTGTCAGCAGTACACACATCAATCTTTACATTTCCAGATGGCGTGAAGGTGCTGAGGTCCTCAGCCTTGAACAGATTTGTTGGCCTGCAAACAGAGAACATTTACCAATATAATTTAAAACACCATACATCAAATAACAGAGATTTTTGGTGTGCAAACAAGCTGTATAAAATGATGCATAACATTACCGTCTTGTGTAGAGGTTAGAAATGCAGCCTTTGAACGTGTCTTTTCCCAGAACAATGGCGCCACGTGTGTTGGGTATGGGAGAGCTGCCACTTTGTTCCAGACCCTTGTCCTCGTCATCAATAACAAGCTTAATACTGTTTGGAAAAAACATCATAGTATATTAGGTATACTAACTTTAGATTGCAGGGTATTTAACAGATGTATCTTCTGGGCAACTGGTGTCACTAAAATTGTTTATTTATTATGTTTGTGTAACTAATTTGCTTAGCGTACACATTTAAATCAAACCAAAGACTAAAGGTTGCAGTTGTCTAAACAATGTTATGGATGTGTTTGAATTTAAAATGATTTCCTTTTTCATACCTTCCACTTCTTCTGGTAACAGTCAAATAATGCCACAGGTCATCGTTATATACTTTGTTTGATTTCCAGATCTTGTTGTTAAAATTGAGAATCACATGGCCATTTTCCAACTTAAGATTCATCTCATTAGCCTGGAAAACAGAATGAAAAAAAGTTTTTTTAAATCTGACCAAGTTCTTCTTTAATAAAAGTCACAATTTGAACATCATATTTAAAAATGTATGTAATGACTGACCAACAGTTTGTCCTGCAGAATGAGACCCTGTTTTTCTGTGCTCTTGAATCCGAGGGAAACAGTAACATCATCAGCCAGACTGAAACCTTGAAGGTTAGCTGACAGGGAGCTTTTCAAATTGAACTCTGCTTTGCGAGAAACCTAAAAAAGAACAAGATCATTATGCATCAGTTAATTAGTTGACATATACAGTAAGCCTATACGTTTGGTTTGACGTGTGATATATTCATATGTTAATGTCCTACCAAGGACTCCTGTGGACAACCGTTGCTGATGCCCACTTGCTCTTCAAGATGTTCATTTTCCGACCCAATCTTTAAGTTCCTCATGCATCCTTTGAAGGGCTGCATGGTGATGTTATATCTGTGAAGAGTAAAAGCAGTTATCAAGTTATTATCAATAAAAAGGAGAAAAAAGTTTGACCAATTTACTCACAACACACAATAATTAAGAGGAAAATTGATAACCACATACTTCTCCCTCAATTCTGTTGGGGCACCACCAATGTAGAATTCTTTAAATGCCTTGTGGTTGTAAGTACATTTGGCACTGACCGCTTCTTCTTTGGCCATGCGGACCTCGATTTCACCGGCTTTAAAAATTAGGAAAAACTCTACCCAGTCACTTACCTAAAGAAAGGATACCAGAGCAAAATGCAGTTGAATTAGTGATTCTTAACAAATGTTATCCGGTTATTTAATGGTAATTGTCAAGAAAAATTTGAGTTAATGCAAGAAAACGAAAAATGGCTCTTACCGGGAAGAGTTTTTTGCTTGTTGTAACAAGTGTATTGTCCAAATTAGTATTCAGGAAAACTATGCCATTTTCTACCGTCACGGTGAAGTAATTGCCCTTTTAGGTGGGGGAAAAACAGCATCATCAAATTCTTGCAAATAGCGTATATAATTATATTCCAAATTCATCAATACAGAAGAATTATAGAGTAGCCATATGAACATTATTTACCTCTGCCTCTATGAAAAAGAGCAGACTGTTTTCTGAACGAATGAAGACATCCATCTTTATCCTGAGGACTGCCGAGACTGATTTTATAATCGCTTTTCCATATCCACTGCCTTCATAGTAGAAAGACACCACAGGAGGTACATATCTGGATAGACAAGAGAAATAAGTCAGAAAATAGTATTTACAAAATGGGATTCTTGAATGAATGTCTGATGTTACGGATAAATAGGCTTTGCTCATCTGTCTGTCAAGCAACAAAATATGTTTTCCATTTCTAACCCACATATTAAGGGTCACAGTGGTTCTGGTGCATACTTACACATCCACTGAAGAGGCAGGTAAAAAGAGCTCATAATGTCACAGGTTAACATGTCATTAATAAACAAGGCATCAAGACAAAGAAATCAATAATACCAGAAGATATTTTCCACATGTCTTGCGGTTTCTCTTCACCGTAAGAAATGTTAATAGTTTCTGTTAATAGTTCAAAAACATCAAGAGTTGAGTGATTCTCAACACTAATCATACTACTCATACTGTGTACCTCTTGCATGGAGAATCTTTATTAATATCCACTGCGTTTTGGAAATTGTAGAGACTGGCGATTTTGTCGTTAAAAGAGGAGAACTCTATGCAGCCTGTGTACTTGGGGTAGTTGAGAGATGGTGGTGGCTAAGGAGAAGCAAATCAGAAAAATATATTAATACAAATCTATGTCAATTAAAAATGAAGAAATGCATTTCTCTTCTTATGTTCTTACAGTGAAAGTGTCAGGGTAGCCTCCAACGTAGAATACAAAATCATCGGCACTGATGTCCAGAAGGTTTTTGTCCTCTTCTCCTTTGTTCTGGTACTCTTTTTTTGGACCGGGTGGTCTTGCCGTGACAACTCTGGTGAAGGACATCTCTACATCTTGATAAATCCTATATTCGGAAGAGGGTGCAAATATCCACATCAACATTCACCATCTTCACAAAATTCCTTGGTATTTTGTAGTGATTTACTTTAAATACAATGTAAAAAGGTATGCTATAATTGGAGGAAAAAACTGGAGAAATACAAAATAATTATCATGTAAATGTACCTGCGTAGATCAACTTGATCAAACTTGGCCGGTTCAGACGTGGACGTGGTGATGAAGTCCGTTTCTATCTGATGCGTGACACCATTGAGCTTGTACACACCGTACAGCTGGTTGCTCTTCAGGACCATTCCGATGTAGTTCTTAGAAGACTACAAGACAGTTTGTTAGTACCTTGTGTATATTCATTAACAAAATGTTTATATTAAACTATTCATATCAATGTGGAGTAACTTACATCTTTATTGCCAAGGTACATCACAAACATGTCTCCGTTGTCGATGGATTGTCTACGTCTGCGTGCTCCATCTCCCCTGCCTGAAGGTCTCTGCAGCTTCAGAGAAAGGGCGGTGTAGGCCTTCAGATCGTCCAGATTATTTGGCGCACGCAGCTCCACGTGGCCATTGCCTTTAAACATCATCGGGATAGTAATCTGGAGAAAATAATGAAAAACGAAAACCAGACCCGTCAAGGAAAAATAAGGGAATCCATTAGTGCTTGGCTATGCTTTAACAGCGAGGGAGCTCACCCTGTTAGCTGCGTCCCGGGCTAGTTCAATGAGATTTTTGATATTCTTGATGTTCTCAGAAATGTTGCTAATGGGTGAGAACTGAGAGGTCAGGTCTTCCACTTCGGAGATCTTGTCTTTAAGAGATGGGATGGTTTTCAGCAAGTCATTCACTGGAAGTAGAAGATGAGAGAAAGAAAATTGATATGTGTAAAAGAAAATTAAGCATCCTTTTCTATTATTCCCATTAATAATATAAATATCTATTATTTCGAACCATAAAGAATAAAAAAATAGGTATACCCTAATGTGTCTTGATACATCTTTTCAAAATCTCACCTGACTTGGTCATATCATCCAACACACTGCCCAGGTTGGAGTCCACAGGCATGACACTGATCTTTTTCATTTCCTCTTTAATGTCATTCAACTTGTCCATAGTGTTGCTGGCCGTGTCATTGGCTAATGCTGCCTTCCTCTTGGCTTCTTCAATCATTCGACCAATATCATCTGATTTGAAGATTTGAAGTGGTAGAAATGAGGATACATCTTTTGTTTGCCAATACACTCAGACGCTTTGAGTTAAAACAGTGCTATGCTATTGCTTTAAAGCCTCGACTTGTATTACCTCTTTTGATGCCGTTTAATTGGTTTTGCGCATCAAGCAGGTCTTTCGCAAGAGTTTTCTTCTTCGTGTCAGCCTTTGCCAGGCGCTTCTTCAGGTCAGTGATGTCTTCTTTGACACCTATTACAGAAAAACAAGAATTTATAACTTAAGTTTTTCTTTTCTTTCCTTTTTCCTTTTTAAAACCACATTTTGAAAGTAGCGCTAAATACCTTGAAGGTCTGTCTCAGCCGCCTTTCCATCATTCAACAGTTCCTCACCATTCTGCATTAGGTCTTTTGCTCTTTCTTTGAGGTTTTCTTTTTTCACATTCTAAACGGAAGGTTAAAAAAATGGTTGCAGGATTTTCCTATAATTCCAAGAGGTTCGAACGGATGCTTAATATTAAAAGGTACCAAGGGTGTTTCTTACATTCAAAGCGTTGTCGGCAGCACTTTTGGCCTCTTTGGCTGCAGTCTCAGCAGCATTAATTGCATCTGTGATGTTTTTGTAAGCGTCAATAGCGTCCTTGGCATCACGCACCTCAGTAAGATCACTTGCGCTCTTCACCGTACTGGGATGCAGGATAACAAGGGAACAAAATGAATCCCAAGAAAGAAACAGAATAATGCAAATGACACACAACTAAGCAGACTGTGCACTAAAACAGACATCTTTTATAGCAAAATACATCTGACATTATTTAACTTAAATCCATTAATTACATTTCAGGTTCAAATGAGATCAACGGTCTTTAATGTATGAAGAAAAGTCTTACTCCTCAAGTTCCTTTGCTGTCTTTGCAATTTTCTTTGCATGATCCTCTGCTCTCACCACAAGGTCCTCCTTGTCTGCAGCCTTGGTAATGTCATTCACTTTCTTATTCAAGTCAGTTTTGGCCCCATCCAGCTGTGCTGCCAGCTGTTCATATTCCTACAGAGGAGAAGGACACGTGAATGGGTGCAAGCTTTTCGGAACAGCAGGAAATGCCATTTAACTTGCCTCAAAGCGCAGCAAACGAAAACCCTGATCCTTATCTGAGTGAAAAGCATGTTGGGACCTGACCTCTTGCTCAATTGAGATCGAAGAAAAGGAGTTTTATTTTAACATAGCTACACTGTGTCAAAAATGTCTTGGCTCACGCTGAAGTGGGACACATTCTGTAAGAGATATGCAGGTACAGAGAGTATTTCAGGAAAAGAACATGCGGGAAACAATTTGTTCAACATACTGTTTTGCTGTCATAGAGCATTTCCACCAAATCCTCGGTCTTCTGCAGCTCATTTTCCGCCAGGGTCATTTGGTCCTTAACAGTCTCACGCTCCGTTTGAATGTCGTTAATGCGTTTCTATAAGGAGCACACAAGTCAGTTAGTTGTACAGAATGACCATAAATAGAATAACAACCTGAAGGGCTTTCCCTTCAAATACCTTACACAAATGAATGTAAAACAGTCTTTTATGTTATAAACCACTAAGCAGCACATCCCCTATCCTTATTTATGTGCTGATTGGTTATGAAACAAATGCTAAATTGTATGGTTACAAATATCTTCATTACAATTTATTTTCTGAATACCCATTAAGCATCAAGATCATGTGTTATTTCACTGATTTACCTTCAAATCTGCCAGTGCCTGAGCATTGAGCCCGTTCTGGGAATTGGTTTTTTTCAGCAAGTCCACTGCCTCCTTCAGAGCCTTGTCCAGGTCCTTCAGCTTGGCCCCGAAACCTTTCAAGTCATCCCGAAGCTTCTCCGCTGCAACCTCGTTCTGATCACACTGCTTGCTTACATCAGTCTTGATGTTTTCTAGCACTAGAAAATGGAATAGAATATGTTATTGGATTTTTATTTTTGAATCTGTAGTGATGTTTAACTTTTCAACAACCACATCAGTGCTTTAATAACGCAGTTTTGGAGGGGTTTGAAAGATTTTTCCACTATCTAACTATGTAGTAAGGCTCGTACATTTCTTGGCCGCATCTTTTTCTTTCTCAGCGGCGGTCTTCTGAGGGGTAAAGTTCCTGTCCTGCATCTCCTTCACCATGCGCTGAGCATCTTTTAGCATTTGGCTCAGGTCTTCATTTGGTGGCTTATCACCACTGGTGCCTGTATCCTTGAGGTGTTCCAGCAGAGCTTTAAACACACAAAAAACAACCAGTCAAGCAAATATTTAGGAACTGATTGCCAGTGAATTGTATTAGAAACTATTTTACTACTTGTAAATATAAACGTTAGTATATTAAAAAGAAGAAATTAAGACACAGGCAGAACAGACAAAGTTAGTGCATTTTTGTTCCTTTTACCTTGAATTTTCTTCATCATGTTTTGAATCTCTGCGTCCAGATCTTTAGCCCTCTTGTCAGTTTTATCAACATCTGCCATGGCCTTCTCAGCATCACTAGCCCGCTTATCTGCCTATATAAAAATACATACCGATCATAAACATTTTCACACGTATTATTGCATGCTTATATTCTTTATAAAATGCTACTGTAGGCCCGGTCTCCATCACTCTACCTTGTCTCTCAGGGAGTCGATGTCATCTGAGAGAGTGCTCTCATCTTCTTCAAGCTGGTTCACTTTGGGCTTTTGGTTTTTGATGGCAGAGTTAAAGTTGTTGACAGTAATCTGCAGAGAGCACAGTAGCAGGAATGTAAATAAAGCTGCATAAAGGAGAATACAGATGCTGTATGCAGAGTGATTGCTTGAGGCTGATAGAGGCTGTTTTTGAAATTGTGCTGTGCCCATTTACTTGTGTCTCAGTTAATGCAGAAAGGATGCACACTCAAACAAAGCGGATGTAACACTGAGATTATGAAAAAACAAAGAAGGAAAAGTCGGCTCAGCAAGCACTGGCATTCGGTGGTGTGGTCGCTAACTCATGTTGACACTCAATCTGTGTGACGAAATACACTGAGATTGCTAATCAGCAGGAATCCTGAATGTTTGAACAAGCACACCCATCTTGTGCTATCAAACACGTGTATTTCTGTGAAAAATAACTGACGTGCAAAATGCAAATAATAAAAAAACAAACTATGGATCTTAATGTTTTGTGATGATACATTTGGCATCAGGAACATAATCTATGACTCTTTCCAATATATTTTAGTGTTCTACTGCTCATCTTCAGCTGTGTCTGTAGCCTTCAGAGTGACAGTGCTGGGTTACAGCCCACTGAAGTGTTACCTTGGTGTCAGCCACAAGCTTTTCCAGCTTCTTCAGCCTGTCCTGAGACGAAGAACCGGCAGAAGCGTTGTCCAGTAGAGTCTTAATCCTTCCTATCTCATCATCCAGCTTCTCCAGATCATTGAGTAAAGTCTGGGCACAATTATCACACTCTGAAACACAAAAGAGGATTGGATTAGCCAAGGCATCCCCCCTCTAATTACTCTAATTATTTTAAACTGCAATGTCACAGCGTCAAACTTCAGTTCTTATTGTTGATTCACCTTGGCAGGGCTCATCTGTGTTTGTGTCTTTTGGCTCAAGGGTGTTCTTGCAAACTGGAGAAAAGGAAAAAAGAAAAGGAAATGTAAATGAACTGTATCTATAGAACAACATGAGCTAGCACTAAAATAGTAAACAAATGAATTGTTTCAAAATGGGAGTTCACAATCTCACCACCAGTCCTGGAATCGCAGTTGTTGCCGTTGCAAAAACAGGGCCGACAACTTCCTCCTAGCGTCAGTGGAGCACCATAGAAACCAGGAGCACAACTAAGGGAATGAGAAATGCGAAAACGTCAAGTATTGCAAACTACAAGGTATCTGCAAAGGATTTTAAAATCATTGCATGTCCATACAGACACTTACCTCTCACACTTGTCTCCACTGTAACCGACTCTGCATATACACTCCAAGCCTCCAAACACCTCTTTGCAACCGATTGCAAAACTGCAAATTGATAAGGAGATCATGATTAAATTCTTGAAATATATAATAACATTTATTTAGAGTACATGAGTTTTATTTTTTTCCCCACACCTGTTTGTGCTGGATGGGCACGGACACATTTTGCATGTCCTCAGAGCTGCGTTTCCATAGTAACCTTCTTTGCAGCGTTCACATCTGTCCCCAGCCGTGTTATACTGACAGTTCTGAAAAAGACATAATGTATTTAATTACATTATTACCACTTGGAAACTAAATGTTGAGAAGCAAAATACCTGGCAGTCGAAGTATTAAAGAACACCTCAAGTAGTAATTCAACCATCTGTGTCCATCTGGCTTTAAAGCTGCTAGGGTGTGGATCCTTGCATACTTTTCACATACAGGCCCGGTCTTGATTGCTTTCATAACAATACAGAGAGAGACGGCTGGATTTTAAATTTCACAAAGGCTCATTCTCCCATCAAGTGGAATATTGAGTGAGGAGGGCCCCATACCTTGAGAATAAGGAGCCATACTGTAGGAGGCTGGGCTAAATCATTAGCTCAAGTCTTAGATACTTTTACAGTTGGTTTTCAGTTCAAGAAAGTTCATTGTAACATCTTGTTGGCCTAAAAGTATTTAGTTCTGAATTGCGTGGTTATTAGTGCAACACTTCTGATAAGAGAAAAAAAACTCAAGGCTTCAAAACGGTGCAAAAATGGGTGCCGTCACGTAGACTAGGTCCACTTCCTGTATGACATCTATGGTGTCTGTGTATAGTACGCCTGTGGTCATGAATCAAGATTTGAGGGTTGTGTGTTTCTTACCCTGCACCTCCCTGTCTTGTCTTCACACTCGTCAGCCAGACCGTTGCACTCACAGCGCACACAGCGACCCAGGAAATACCCACTGCCTTCTCTGTAGTAACCAGGAGCACATTTCTGGAAAAAACAAATATAAAGACATGATTAACCAACTTCAAATGGCAATTGTTAAATCCTGGCTAGCAAGTCAAAGCTTTTTGATGCTAGGGGCTTGGCAAAATACTTAAGATTCTCTATTTAGATATTGAGTGTATTTTCTTTCAATTCAATTGAAAACATTTCTTATAGAATACATAACCTGAAAGGAGTGTCTATTGCTGGCAAATCATTGATTTACAATTTTTTTTTTTTTTAAATGAAAATGTCAAAATGTTGTAGAAATCCTGCAAATGTAATATTGGTAAAAAAGCGCTCCTGCTTATGACTTGCAACATTGCCTGTAACTACAATTATCATCAGTTCAAATGTAAACACATTTCTCATAAGCCTACGAATTCTAACACATTTCCAAACGTAATGTAAATATCATACCAACATTTCTTTCTAATTTTGACTTAACGTAGCAGAGGATTAATAAAAACACTGTCCCAGACGGCACCTCTGTTTGCTTTGCTAAGAAGTGAGATAATTTACAGAGCACACAGCAATGAACTTGACCTGAGTTTAGTTTGATTAACAATTAACTCAAGAAGCCCTAAAGCATGCCCTTTGCTTTCAGAGATAACATATTTAGGTCAACCCATCCTGAGGCATTGAGAAGTGTATCCTACAGCGAAGCTAAAACATCCCTTCAGGTACAAAAAAACTATTTCCAGATTTTTACCTCATTCTCATAATTGGCAGAACCGTCATTAACATTAGGAAAGACAACAGCCTGTCCTCTCCCCTGTACCCCTTGGGTCCCTTCATCATTCAAAGATGGATACTCTATCCGCTGAGTCCCCTGGTCGTTTAGTGAAGGGAACTCTATCCGCTGAGTCCCCTGGTCGTTTAGTGAAGGGAACTCTATCCGCTGAGTCCCCTGGTCGTTTAGTGAAGGGAACTCTATCCTCTGAGTCCATCTCTCATGATGCCTGGCGTAGCGGGTTCGCTCCCCTCTCTCTCGGGGTCTGTGGCCAGCACAGCAAAGTCCAATCAAAGTCCAACATAGTAGGGTCTGTAACAAAAGCCCTGTGCGCCGTTGCTTATCCATACAAGTATCTGACATTCCTAACGTTTAGTCCGTGTGAAATAATGCTCTCTCCCCTGCCTCAGCCTCTTAAATACATACAGTCACACACACACAGAGGAAACGCCCCACCTCCTACCTGAGTCAGCCTTGCAGATCAGCATGAGTGGATATAGACACACAAGCACACACATGCAAGTGCCCCCCCCCTCTCTCTCTCTCTCTCTCTCTCCACACACACACACACACACACACACACACACACACACACACACACACACACACACACACACACACACACACACACACACACACACACACAATTGCTTTAGATACATACAAACAATAACATTTGGGTACTTTCATGCGCACACAGGAAATCCACTATTAGCATTACTGAATAATAGAGAAAAATAACCGTCACAAAAAATATATGCTGCTGTATTTACTTAAAGCTGCAAGGGTGTGGTAATAAAACCTCTGCTTAAAAAAGCAACTTAAACATTAATTCATGTTCAATTCTATTAATGTGTGTGAGTGTGTGTGGTTTATAACAGAGTTTGTGCAAGCATATACTGTATGACTGAAAGGAAAGTCAGACAACCTCAGACAACACAGACAACAAACTCACACCTGAATCACGTTACTCAAACACACATCACCACAACTAGGTGTGTCGGGTCTTCCGGGCACACATACATACACACAGGTGAACGCACTTGTGTTTATGAGTAACAGTGTGTTGCCAAATGCCGCACCCCATGTGTCAAGGCAAGGTTCCTTGTCATATAGCCTCCAGGCACATATTATCGACTTCCTCTAAACACTCCCGATCAGGCTATTGCTCATATTCACACACAGGTAAGTAACCACATCTATGGCAACAGTATTCCAACACAGTAACACTAACAAACGCTGTCTGTTACATGAAAATAAAATCCCCGTTAATTACAGTTTGCTCCTAACTCATTTTTAATTAGTCTCTGTGGGTAAAACTGCTTCTCTTTATCTGTATACAAAGATCTGAGAAGCACACACTCAAGTCAAGTCAGCACCATTCCCAGGATAAAAGGGAATTCAAGTAAAGCCTTTCCTGACCAACTACATCAACGTTGTTTGCACTATGTTCCTGTGAGCCGTAGCTATGCCAGTGATTATAGCTTTATAATCACTGATATCATGTCTGCGTGATTGTGCATCATCTCCCCAGCCTGGGGCTACACAATTTGGCTGTGAAGATCCACGGCTGGTATTTTCCAGTACATTACAAACAAAGCTCCTCCGCGGATGAATATTTCTCTTAGAAAAGGGTGTGGTACTTGGTTCAGGCGTGTCAGGACACCCTCAAAAATATGAGGAGGAGGCCCAGCTCCTCAAAGATGACAAGATGCCATTTTAATGAACATTGTGCTCCACCCTGCTTGTTATCTCTACTGTTTCTCAGACCTTAACAAAATATCAAAAGTTCCCCCTGTCTAGTTCGTTGACACACTTAAGTATTTTATTGGTAAGGAAGTTTTTTACAGTACGGAAGAATACATTAAGAGAAATTCCTTCCTAAGGTTTGGCTACATCCAAGACAGTATTCAAAACATGCTGCGCTTTAAAAATACTCTACATTTGTTTGTTGCTTTAAATATTGTTTTACTAATTTGTCCTTATTGTGTTTAAAACCTATACAGTTATCTTATTTGAAAAGGACATGAAGTGTAAATCATTTAACATTTATCTACACCGTTACACCTTTTATTCAAGAACCAATAAAGAGGAAGCAGTATTGAGGGATATTTGACTGTCTTTTAACTCCTCACCTGACAGGAGTCTCCAGTGTACTCAGAGGGGCAGGAACAATCCTCCACAGTGTTTCCAGGACCCCCAGTCCCCGTCTCTGTGGCCCCCTCCAGGCCCACCTCCCCCAGGCTGAGTCGCTGGGTTTGAGTAAAGTACAAGGCTCGGATCCTCAGGCCAGCGAGAGCAGCCAGGACCGTCATCAGCTCCTCTCTGGAGACAGGCCTGCTGCTGACCGCATGGCGCCAGTTCCCCTGCACACCAAAGGTCAGTTAGTGATGAATGCTGAGAAATCTGCATTTCAAAGAATTATATTACATTGGATTCCACATCATAATAAGTACACAATATTATACACAGTGTTTTGAGAATAATGTATACGTTTTATAAGATAAGATAAGATGGACCTCAAATTGATCCCTGTAGGGAAATTCAGTTGTTATAGCAGCAACAGAATAAGTGAGAAACACAGATAGTACAAATGAGGGATAATAAGAATAAAAAATAAAAGCAATAAACATTAAATAACAAAATGAATGTTATTGAAAATAATTACAGTCACTGAGAGAGAGATATGTTTTATTCAAATTACAAATACTAATCAAAATGTTGGTGAAAGGAGTTACATTGAAACATATGAAGAACAAAACATTAGTTTATTTGTTTCTCTTTTCCGATCTTAAAGTTAAATTGAAGATTTAAAAAAAAAAAAGGTTTGAAGGCAATCATTGGTGAGTGCTTTTGTAAGATTTAACTTCCCTTTTTTATGATCGTTCAGCTTTTTTCTCAGTTTAAAACATTTGTAAGAACACTAATCAAAATTGCTGTAAACTTCCCGCTAACACATTTAAACTCCACAGATGATTAAGCCTTTTTCAATTAAATAATTCAAATAGTGTCACTTTCAATATCTACATCAGACAAGTTACAAAAACACATTTTGAAATATAATAGCTAGATTCCCATTGAATAAAAATAACTTTTTTTTAATGAATACATTTTTTAAATGCTCACTATTTTTAACAGAATGGAGGAACTGGTTTGTACTTTACCTCTAAGAGCTGGACTCTGCCCTGATACGGCTTGTCTGGGAGTGGGACTTGTTGAGCCATGTGGATCAGGGTCATATCTTGACCCTAAGAGGGGGGGGGGAGAATAGGATGGATAAATAAGTCAGTGATAACAAAATAAGATGTTTGTGAGTGAGAAACCAGTAGCACTACGCACAGTCAGCACAACATCAGGTCTCCTGTCCATTAAGGTCATCCCCTCAGAGGGAATCCCAAAGGATTTGGACTGATAGGTGAGGAATCCACCATAAGATGAAACCTAAGAGAAAGACACATAAATACACATCTGTCAGCTAATCTGAAATAACAGAAATTGGTTTAAAGAAAAAGTATGTATATAGGGCAGGGGTCTCAAACTCAAGGCCCGGGGCCAAATCCGACCCGCAACTTCATTTTATGTGGCCCCGCAAGAGCTTGCAAAGAATATAATAAGTTTATTATATGGTTACATGCCACTTTACAGAAGCAGGTTGCCCATAAACTACATGTCCCACAATGCATCTTGTTTTGTGAAATGCGCACTGAAGAGACTTGCAATTATTTGCCCTAGACTTTTGCCTTCAGACATAGTTAATTACTAAGTTATTATCCTATCCGATAATAATCCAATTCAGAGGCAATAATGTAATATAATACGTTATTTTATATATATATTATATATTTATATAGTTACAACCGGCCCTTTGAGTGCAACCTTTATGCGAATGTGGCCCGCGGTGAAATTGAGTTTGACACCCCTGATCTAGAGTATATAACCTGGGTCTTATATCACAACTAGAAAGAATACCATCATTATTATACATTTCTATCATTTATGATAGAATTGTATCTAATAATATAAATATATGATATGTTATATAAAGATTTTATGAACATTGCAACATTTTTAAAATGGAGTACTATAACTAAAGAAGTGAAAACACATGTGAAAGGTGTGACAGGAGGATGATGGTTAACTGAGGTGTCCATTACAATGCTCTACTGCATTGAAAAAACGTGATCCCTATGAACAAGGGTATTTGATGTGATGCGGTACAAAAATCAAACTTCAAAATGATTCATTTAAATAACAAGTTTCGTTTTTAAGGCGGTAAGATTTCTGAAAACTATTGAAACACCAGAACTCAAATAAAATAATACAACTATTTTTTTTTTTTTGTATTTTTGTTTTGATGGGTCCATAACATTACTTTAAAGCTCCAACTCTGGAAATACTGTATATGTTTCCCTACCTAAACCTTAGTTACTCATTTATTTTCATTCTTCCGTCATGGTATCTTCCTTCCATCACTCACCCTGTCTCCCAAGTAGGACGATGGTGCCACCCAGTGTAGAGTTTGAGCTGTTGGGGGAAGCTCCTGGATGTCTGCCACTACTGTGTTGCTGGCTGTGTTCAGGACAGAGGTAACCTTCTCCTGGTCGGGACTTTCCAAACGCCAGCCTCGCATCCCAACAAACTTATAACGGGGAGAGTTTGGGCGTAAATTGAAAAATCCATCCTAAAATCTCACTGTATTCACGATTAACAAATGATAGCTGTCTTCTATCTTATACATATAGACATGTTACAAACAACAAGAGATGAATCCCAGAATGTACCCAGATCCCAAAGAAATCACCACCATGCAATTGTCGGTTCTTTACTGAACATCTGTATGCTTAGCTTTTCATTAAATAAATTACTTTCACCATATAACTGCTATCAGCCAGAAAGCTCTGCAGGGCACAACATTTCCAAAGGCATTTATAGACATGCATGGGTACGAAAAGCAAACGCACCTTCCCCCTGCGTTTGCTGGAGCTCTGACACAGGTCAGTCGCCCCGAAGCAGAAGCAGCTAGTACAGCCGTGAGGGTTGGAGGGGTCAAAATAGAAGGAACCTTCCCGACAGGTTTCGCACTTGGCGCCTGCAACATTTCTCTACCAACATGGCACCAATAATGAAGAGAAGGTCAGAGCAAGGAAAGACTAATAATAAGCGATAGAGAGTTTTTGAATCAGCTAATTGGATGAACTCACCTTGCAAAGACACCTCCCTGTGTCTGGGTGGCAGATGTCGGCTGTGACGCCATCTTCTTTACAGTTACATGGTACACAGTCAGGGAAGCGATAGTAACCTGCAGCGCAGCGATCACACTGCCGGCCAGCAATCCTAGGCTTGCAACTACAGAAAAATACACATGCACATTATTTTTAGTCAAAATCTGGATGATAAACCAGACAAACATGATTCATAGATTTAAAAAGTATTTAAGTCTATATTGAATAGCCTTAAATATAATCCCATTATGCATTCCTGTACAGTATATTGCTTTAAGATGCTGATTGGGAATGCTTTCCATTGTTTCTTTATTAACAAAGATTTAAAGACCGCAAATCTATATGACAGAAAATATGATCAACATGACTAGTCTGTGAACGGATCCCCTCATTAATCACTTTAAGGTGCACGCTTTTTGTTAGAGGCTTCAAGCCTCACATTCCAGCTTTCCCGTAACTCAAAACTGAGAGCATGAAAGGGACAATCAATTTGTGTGCCGCTGTTTACTAAGTATTGTAAATTACAGATAAATATATATATATACACACATCATATAAGTAATAGAAATTAATACAACTTTTGTAATAAAGTGACAACAGAGTAGACTAAAGCAAATCTATAGTTAACATAAAAAAAGGCACACATAACAGAAACATTGCATGTGGTTATTGAGTTTTAAAGTAATGTGGGTTTTTTTTATTCACTCAGGTTGCATGCTAACTTTCTTCTGGTCTGCCTCCCTGTGTGCCCTTTTCTTTCAAGATTTGGTATTTCATTCGCACAAAAACAGGCACAAACACAATATTTCCTCCTTTTTGTCTCTTTCCGAAAAAATATTTATACTGTAAATATGGAACTTGTATGGAATCCCATTTCCGCCACTTGAAAAAAATAAAATCCCCATGAAAAGTCATAATTATGAGATAAAAAAGTCGAAATAATGAGATAAAAAGTCATAATTATGAGATAAAAAGTCGAAATTATGAGATAAAAAGTCGAGATTATGAGATAAAAAGTCGAAATAATGAGATAAAAAGTCATAATTATGAGATAAGAAGTGCGCATGCGCTGCAGTGGCGCTGTCTTCAAAGGTCCCTTCATCACCTTGCTGCTCTCCACCATGCAAACGGCATCTAGTCCTAAATAAGGTAACTATTACAGGTGACTTTTGTAAATGTTAGATGTTACATATAGCCTATATTGCAGCTAAACTACAACAATGCAGTTCATAGCTTTGACATGACCTGTTATGAACTATAATATATATGCCTATAGTTTTGTGGTAACGTTCACGCCACTAATGACAATGGTGTACAGTAGGCATACTGCTGCTGTGAGTTGTAAGCCTAAGACTCTAACCCGTGAACGTTACCACAAAACTATAGGCAATATTATTGTTCATAACAGGTAATGTCAAAGCTATGAACTGCATTGTTGTTTAGCTGCAATATAGGCTATATGTAACATCTAACATTTACAAAAGTCACCTTTAATAGTTACCTTATGTAGCTGACGCTCAAAGGTCCCTTATTATTGTTTTGTCCTTTTTGAAGAGTGTTTAATGTATGCTTGAACTTTGTTTTATTTTGTAAAAATGATAAGAGTTGTCTTTCCGGAAGTCATGTGACCTCTTGCCCCGGATGTTTATATTGTGTTTGTGTGCGGTAAAAGTGTCAACGATGTGATAACGTAATTCTACTGCTGGTCTACTAGGCAAACACGTTTTCACGGTGTTTCATGATTGTGCAAAGAAGAGAATAAACGTGATTGTGGACATCGGTTCGATGCGTACTGTAATGTTCTTTCAAGACCAGAGTAGTTACACCTTATTTAGGACTAGATGCCGTTTGCATGGTGGAGAGCAGCAAGGTGATGAAGGGACCTTTGAAGACAGCGCCACTGCAGCGCATGCGCACTTCTTATCTCATAATTTCGACTTTTTATCTCATAATTTTGACTTTTTATCTCCTTATTTCGACTTTTTATCTCCTTATTTCGACTTTTTATCTCATAATTTCGACTTTTTATCTCATAATTTATGACTTTTCATGGGGATTTTATTTTTTTCAAGTGGCGGAAATGGGCTTCCATAAACTTGTTATTGGAAATGATCCAATAACAAATATTGGAAATTGTTGAACAATAGGAAATGTGACTCAAAGTATTTAAATAACCCATGAGATAAATTAATGAAATAGCACAGAAACAGTATAAAAGCATTAGGTTAGGTAAATTGAGAAATTCTGAAACATGTCCAATTATGTTCCCTTGTATTATATGCAGGAATTAAGATCAAACATATTGTGAACACTCTTTAATTAACCTTTGTATTTATTGAAAGCCAAACCATTACTCTTAATAAGTGCACAGCTTTGTTTTAAGTATGTTTCCCCCTCACCTGCACTGTCCTGTGGTTCGGTCACAGTCAGGCCCTGCGTTTGCTTGAATGCCATTTGGAGAGCACTCACAGCCCTCGCAGCCTAGCAACGGGTGATAGCTGAAAGTCTGACTCTGGCACACATCACAGGAAGGTTTGACTGTCTGAGGAGGGCAGATACAGCTTCCTGTCACCTCATCGCACAGGCGGCGGCCACACTCACATGCTGGAGAAAGGACAGAAGGGATTTCAATTACATTTAAAAACTATTTAGGTTAATGTAGATAGTCTCACATTCAGAAGTCAGAAGTAACCGTTGACTCACGTCTGCAGTAGGGGAAGCCGTAGTATCCCGTGGCACACTTTGTGCACTGACGACCAATGACATGCTGCCTGCAGGGACACTGTCCTCCAATTGGCTCACAGGTGGTGCGTGTAGAGCCAGACTTATCACAGTTGCAAGGCAGGGCTCCGTCATTAAAGGCTGCTACAAGAGAACGGGCGGCGTCTCTGCAGAACTGTGGAGAAGTATTCGGGCTGAGGGGAGAAAAGAGTATGTGGTTTTAACCTCTACTCGTACAGCTAGAGGGCACCATTTTCAAAAACTTCCACTGTACTGTTTATGATTGTGAAACTGCAGCACTGCCAAACAAATAAATGCACTAAAAGAACAACACAAGCTTAGATGAAGACAGAAGAGCATATCAAAAGTAAGATAAGATAAAGATAAATAAAAAACGGATTAAATGTTTAGATTTGAAATTGATTTGAGTCACGCTTGTAATACAGACATGGTGGATACTTACTCAATATAGAATCCTTCTCCTCGACACTGCTGTATGAAATCTGCAGATTTATTCAGTGGCTTCTCTTTCAGGAGATCTGGGGTGTAACTGCTATCAGGAACCAACATGATATAATCCTGCACAGAAGGAAAAAAAAGGCACAACAAATGATTTAAAAAGATCTCACCAGTAACTTCAAGTTTGTTTGTTATGTGCTTTATGTATTCACATCAGTGTTAGGATCAGTGTGCAGAAGATGATAAACAGATGATTTCACCTGCAGCCACATATGAGTCTTCTATTTTATCCAAAGGGAAAGAACAGCAAGTGAACAACAGGCAACTACAGCCCAACCTGCGCCTGTCTTACAGAGGTCGGAAGAGTAGCTTTAAGAAAGCAGAGAGGGGCTGCCAGGTGGAATACAGTCACTTCATTGTTTTTGTTGGGATATGGAACAACACTGAGGAAAGAGGACCTAAGCATATTGCCAAGTGCTCTCTACAGCATCTACTCAAGGGCAAAACACAGACTTGTCCCTCAAACCTGTAGACTTGCACAGAAGTATGTCTTGCTATTTATTTTTTCTTTATTCATTTCTTTAGTTTTGGAGGGAAAAATCATTTGAACTGTGTTTGACTCAACCACGGACCAGAGTAAGTGTCTTCTTAGGTGGCACAATCACAGAGATGGTGGGCTGCTGCCAAGAATTTGGCTCAAAGTCAAGGGCAATGCGACCATCAGCGATCACAACCGCCCTGCAGCCTGAGACCGCGGGGCAGAAAGAGGCATTTATTGAACCTGTAATAGAAAAGCAAAGATTAAGTTAAGTAGAGAAAGAGGATGCTGCACAATAATCCATCCCACAACTAAAGCCATATAGGGAAGTGTGTCCGGGTCCTTTGATCCTCCAAGAGACTTAATCTACTTTTATGAAGGAAAACCCCTTCACTGAGAAGGCTTTCCTATTCTCCTGTGAGTAACCACACTTCTATCCAATGGGAGCCGATAAACAATTTAATTATATTTCATTTAACAGGAGTCCACCTAAGACTTCCTCCCACACACTCACCCTTCCATTCCCGCCCTGCGTTCACTTGAACCTCTACGGGGAAGGAGGTATGTTCAGGCTGGTGATAATGGACCACCACCACATACCTGCCCGGGAGGGGCACATTGGGAGTGAAACTGATCTCCGTCTGTGGAAGGAAAAAAGAAGGAAGCTTCAGTGTCAAACAGTCGTAGTGTAATTGAAAATTAATGTCACAGCAGAGGTGGCTCATTGAACTCCTCCAGCTCCCAGCAGTCCAGAAAAGCTCAAATTATTCAACAAGGTTTTTTACCTGAGGGAATTTAAGCAGAATCCCATCACTGTTAGGTTCACAGACAGGGAAGACCCCGGTCTGTCGTCTCCATCTCCAATCCTCATTCTCTCCTTGTCGGGGAGAAACAGCCGGTGCTGAAGAGAGCTGTCCATCAGTGGCAGCGTACAGTATCAAAGCTGAGGCTGGCTTGTCGAATTGCCTCAGAACACAGTCCCGACTGGAAACAGTAAACAGCAACAAGAGGTTGTTACTGAAAGCCTGTTGATAGGATTGGCCAAGCGCTATTGTAGCAGAACAATGTCACTTGTTAGGAGATGTGTCAGTTGCTAGTGAAACAACAATAATCTCCAATAATCCTTTTTTAAATCTTGAAATCCTCTGGGCCCAGGAGTTCAAAACTTTTAATCCCTATCTGATCAGATCAGATTTGGATTTTGGGGAGTTCAAAACCAAAAAACAGGATCACTTTGATATCCGATCAGATCAGGAAATCCAATCCAAGCTTTAATCTGGATCAAATCTTCAAAACGGGTAGTTCAAACCAACAACACAGGCTTGGGATCAGTTTGATGCCAAAAAACTGGATTATCCTAATCCCACCAGAGGGGTGGATTTCCAGTGGATTACCAGAGCAAAATGTACTGTACCATTTATTTAAAAATATGTTTCAATATAAATAAGATGGCAAAGTTTGTTAACTGAAATAATACACAATTTTTAGCCTTCATGGCAAATCAATTTTATTTTTCATTTTTTGGCCACGTTTGTGGTGGCCTATTTTGTTTTCAACCAAATGTTGATGACATAAATGTTTATGCTCATAAAAGTGTCACAGCAAAGATTGTCAATCACAAATGTAATTTAGATTAAAAAAATATCTTCAACAAAAAAAAAGTCCATCAGTCATCACCTTTCAAAAGTAATTGCGGACAATAGATGTCTGCAATGTGGTCTCTTGTCTCCTTGTATTATTTTTCATATCCACTAGATGGCGATCGGTAGGATTAAAGCACTGATATTCAGGATCTAGTCATCTTGAAAAATCGTAATCTGGATCAGGCTGATCCTATCCTGAATTGCTTTGAACTCCAGGGACAAAATCTGGCCGACTTGTCTGATCCTGGATCACAAAAAATGGGATTTCAAAATCTGATCGGATCTGATTGAGATTAAAAGTTTTGAACTCCTGGGCCCAGGTTATCAATGTGCAGATATCCTGACATCACACACTAAATATACACACACTTCTAAGGAAAGCTTTAGTTTTACAGGCTAACACTCTGGCTTCAGGTTGCAGGTTAACCTTCTTCTCGCTTGCCTCGCTGTGTGCAATTTTCTTTCAACATGTTGTATTCAATTTGCACAAAAACAGGCACAAACACAACATTTCCTATTTTTTCTCTCTACTTTTCAAAGAATATTTAATATTCTGTAAATATGGAACGTGTTATTGGAAATGATCCAATAACAAGTATTGGAAATGGTTGAACAATAGGAAATGTAACTCAAAGTATTTAAATAACCCATGAGATAAATTAATCAAAAGCACAGAAACAAAAATTGTTTCAAAACCATGAACATAAAGTGTGTTTATTGCATTCTTTTTGCCATCATTGCATGTCTATTTGTGTGTAAGTTCAATTAAAAATGTATCTTATTTTCAAATCAATTCCCACAATTTCATTTGTGACATGTTTCCCTTTTGAGGTGGCTTTTTTTCCACACTGTTCATGGTGAATTACTACATACTTGTAGAAAATAACGGGACTGCACACTGACAGCTGTTAACACATTTGTAACTGTGACCTAGTCTTTAGCGTACATTGAGTGTGACAGCGAGAGTAAGAGAGAGTTTGACCCTCAGTTCCAACTCAGTTAAATGACCTTAAACAGCTGGAAGAATGTGTGCAACAGCACCTGGAAAACAGGTGTGTGTCTCCACGCTCCAGAACAACAACAAAATACAGATGTCTAGTCATTTAGCAGCTTCTCCTAAAATTACTACACAAGTGTTGTTATTAAAAGCATGCAATGGAGTTTATTCAAGGTGACCTACCTGTCTTCAGTAAAGTAGCCATGAGTGGAGACACACAGCACCTTTGGATCCACATACTCCAGGGAGAACTCCTCTATAGGGACTGCATACACTTTATACTACAGAAAGAAAACAAATATTCATTTAAATGACATGCTGCTATCTAGAGCTATTATAACTCTTTTGTGAAAATATTTCCCTCACCAGCAGGAATGATGTAGTGGGGGTTTGCAGAAGAACCTCCGTCTTATGATCCAGCTGCACCACTGTCACCTTATTACTGCTGTCCACTGCAACACTCCGGCACAAAAAGCTGCAAACGACACACAACAGTTGAAAATATACTTCTAGCTTTGAAACACTTATTTTGTGTCCAAAGCCATAGCTCAAAAAACGACTTGTACATCAATTGTTTGGGAAGGTGAAGCAACAAATACAAATTCAGACTCACCTGTACGCACAACTGTAAATGTTAGCCCTGGCTGGGATCTGGCCCCCTGACTCGCCACTGATGAGTATGTTGACATTTTGGACAGTGTCCACCTCGCTGGCATACTCCAGGACAAGAGCGTACTGGCCAGGACGAGGCACACGTAGACTGAGTTGGAGCTGAGACTACAGGACAGAGTTCATACAAAGTCAGTTTAGTGAATTTAAAGGAGATACTTTACCCCCAAAATGATCCTGTGTATATCATTGTTTTACTCATAGTTCTAGCTATCCATTTATATGCTCACTAAATAAACTTAAATAGGTACCTGTTCACCAAAGAGGCATGCAATAACAACACAATCAAATAAAAATGTATTGTAACACAGGGTCGTTTATTGATATAGATAAGGTCACTGGGTGTGAAGTATTCCTTTATGCAGCTCCAATAAAAGAAAAAACTGCTTAAGGGAGGCATAAAAGCAATCAGTAAAGATTATAATGGTATGTTCAATAGCCAACTATTATTCTGGACTTTGAAACGACAAATAAGATCCGGCCAAATTACCTCAGTCTATTTTATAGCTTTGTATTCCACCTACTCCTGATTTAAAGGTAACATTTTGAAACAAAATAAGGACTCCAAAAGTAATTGGGTAAAACTCTCTGTAGTACTGTATGGGCTTGTATGTAAATCCAGTCTTTCCTACCTGTCGGCCATTGAGAACGGCCATCTCAGGGTGAGCTGGGGTGGGACGGCGCACGCGAGCCTGCCTCCTCCTGCGCCCGCTGCGGCTGGAGAGGATTCCCTGCGATCCCAGAGCAGAGCTGAAGCCATCCATGGACACATGCTTATACAGCAGACAGCTGAGAGAGACATACAGGCAGAGGCAGTGAGCAGGAGAGATGAAATATATCTATATAATCATGCTGTTTCCGAAGAAAGAAAATGTAACATATATACCAAACACTGCTTAGCATACTAGTTATTGTAAGGAAAATGTTGGAACTGATTGCCATATGCTTTGTATACCCTCTGCATAGTTTTGAAAAAGTTGTTCATTTTTCTTCTTTTCCTTTGGCGTGTAGCAAATCATATATTTTATGGTTCATTCTAGCCAAAAAAAACACCTGTGTTAAGTTAGGAACCATCCATTATCTGTATTAACTGTTTGTGCGGTATATAGAAAATGATGTATGGCTATAAAAACAAAACATTCCTATCCCATGCAGGAGTAATAAGTCATAGTCACAGACTATCTAAAGACTTACTTTGTATCCTTGTCTGCAGGGAGTAAGTAAGTGCAGGGCTGGGTGATCTTCTCCTGCAGCAGAGGAGCCTCATAGTAATCCCGGGGCAGCAGCATTAAATAGTCCTGGAGAGGGAGAGAGATATGTGTACGCTATTTAGTGCATTGCATTAGTATTTTTTAGGTGGACTTAATTTAGCATAAAGAAGGCAATATGCCCAAAAACAACAAAATAACTGATTTGACTGAAAGCATTCTCACTATTTTTTCAATTGTATTCAAATATATTGCCATAACAGTGCTATTATGTCTTATTTTGGACCCAATAATTGTGTAGTGAGAATCTAATATTGTGACAGCCCTACATTACATTACATTTCATTTCATTTAGCTGACGCTTTTATCCAAACCGACTTACAATGACGAATTACAGGGACATTCTCCCTGGAGTAACTAAGGGCTAAGTGCCTTACTCAAGGGCACACTAGTGGTGGTGTTCCTGGCAGGTTTTGAACTAACAACCTTCCGATCTTCAGTGCACCTCACTATCCATAGACCACCACTATCCCTATTTCTTTTGTACATTTTTCTCATAAACTCACCAGCAGGACCCCCTCCGCCCTTATGTGAATGGTCCATGTCCCAGGGGTCATTGCAAAGGGCTCAGCGAAGCCCTCTCCTGGGACGGTGAGGAAGGATGGGGAGGGACTCTCAGGGAATATTACTTCCTTACTCTGATCAGACCCTGGAAAACAGCAAGCACGGATGTTTTAAATGCGACACATCTACAGTTGACGATTGGGACATCAGCATAAGAATGACACTGGGGCTTGAATATGAATGAAATACAGGAAATTAGTTATTTATTGTATGTATTCAATGATGGGTTATGATGATATGAAATGTAAGAGCTGAATCAGAGGCAGCCTCACCTTGAGTGCCTCTGTTATTGGTAGCCTTGATGCTACCGGTCACACTGGTGCCTTTCGGGTTAGTGAACCGCAGAACCACACGGTATAAGTGCTGCTTCTCATCTTTTGGGTCAACATGCACTGTTACTCTGACTTCACTCTGCGGGGAGGAGAGTGACACACAGCTGACTAAATCTGCATGGCTTTGAGTAGACAATGAGGTTTAATGTTAAAGGTTAAAATAGTGTCAGATGGGCAGAGATCTTTAGCAGTGAGAGGGTTAATCAACAGACAGCAAGCAAGATGAAGAGAGGAAAACACAGCCGAATGAAGGCAGCCCCTTCACTTACAGTCACAGCAAGAATGAAAATCAGCTTCATCCACCACCAAGATCCTTGCTCTCACTCGTGCTCTTCCCTTTCTTTTAGGGGTGGAGTAGTGCATTACAATATGGAAAGAGCCAGGAAAGCCAAGGGTAAGCGAGACGATCACCTCCGGCTGAAGAGAGATGGTGTTAGTTCAAAGAGAGCTGGTGTCAACTTCTCCAGCAGCCATGATATAATAGAGAGTGTGTTCCTCAAATAGGATTATCAATGCAGAGGTAAAAGCAAAACAATCATCAGGATAGACTGAAAAAGGAAGCTATAGAAGTTGATTGAAGCAGCAGATAGATCCAAGTATAGACTGCTCATACTGTTATTTATAAGAATCATCACATTAGTGTATCAAATATATATCGAGGTATTGTTGTGAATATGTGTACTAACCTGTGCAGGAGACATTACAGCATAACCTCTCCAGCTGAAATCTGGGAACTCATTGGGGTTAAAACCAAAGCGCACTGGTCTGGCATTTGGCGTGGTGCCATCCTCGACCTCAAACTTTAGTTGGTGCAGAGAGGGGAAGTAGTAGCTTGGTGCTGGCCTAACAAGGTGCAGGAAGACTTTCATTCAAACTGTTACATTTACAGTGTATATTGTGCATTTTTCTAGACTTCTATGCATTTTGAAATTCAAAGCAGCCACATCTTACTCAGTGCATTGACGGCCCACTACATTGTTACGACACCAACACTGTCCCGAGATGTCATCGCACGACGTGCCAATTGCGCCGCCTACATCACACTGACAACCTGTCAGAGAGAGTACAAGTCATTATTTGATATCTATGTATATATATATTGATTTAAAAGAATACTTAATACCAGACTGAAACACAACGTTCCCCTGCTCTCACTGGCTGAAATATTGAAATGTGTTGCAACTCTAACCATCCAATGATGTTACGTTAAACCGCTGCAAGGCTCAGAAAAAACAGTGTGTGCAAGATGACTTACCTTGACAGCCAACATAATTCTTTTTCTGCAGCAGGTAGAATCCATCCTTACAGGTTTCACATTCATGTCCACATGCATTAGGTTTACAGTGACACTGTCCATTTTTCTAGAAAAACAGATGATCAGGAGAGTTCAAGACAAACAAAATAATTGTTACAACATAAGCCATTCAGTCAAAACTCTGTACGACATGTGTCTAATTTGAATGACACTTTGATTAATAGATGAGTATCAGGCACTGCAGGTAATAATAAAATACTCACCTGCTCACACTCTCCTACGCCACTCAGGGTCCCTCTCACATCACACCGACACTCTGGAATGAGAGGGGGGAAGAGGTTGTGAGAGTATAAAGGAGGATCCACAGTGAATAGACTCTGATTGCAGGATTGTGTCACTTTCATGGGTGAAACGCAATGGCAGAAATCTCTACAATCTTTAAAGATCTACACATCAAAGGTCCAGAGAAGCTTTTCCGCCCTGGCTTGCTTTCAACTAAGTGAAAAAAACAACTTCCCCTTAATGTCCGGCCAGTCAACCAGAGGCATTCTTTGGATATTAAAAAAGCTATTTTATCCCCTGTCTTGTTTCTTCAAGCAGTACATTGTGACAACATTCTTGTTCTGTAACATTAGACAGGTATCTGGACAAAGCCAGAAGCTGTTCCCTCACTAGCTGGATAATGAGATCAATGTTATTATTCCCAAAATCAAGCATTTTTAAAGGATTAGAGTAATTTTTCTGTGATGGTGAAAGAGTCCAAAGGTTTTGTTTTCGGTGTGCTACTGGGTGCTCATTACTGCAAAGTCACAGCATGAACGCTCACAGGTTCACCTGCAGCTCCACACTCAAAGCTGTTAACAGGAATTTGCCTGTATTTATGTGTTGTTCCTCAAATCCCCCCTGAGAGACAGGAAGGCAGATCCGACCTTGTTGACAGGGGCAATGTTGACATATACTCTGTGTAAGAGGTGCCAAGACCCATATCAGTGCCTTGTAAAAGTGCTACTGGGGATTTATTACAGTGGGAGAAAAGAGCTAAGACTCCTCGAGAAAAAAAAATGAGAACAGGATACTTTGGCTGATAGGAGGACAACAAAGTATTACCTATTTTTTTATTACACTGTTCACAAAGTTAGATTAATAATAGTTATAGAAAAGATTTCCAGAATGTTCATTTACCTATACAGCCACGGGAGAGTTCAGAAGCGAGGTTCCAGTAGAGAGGTTTACAGCTGTCACACAGCGTTCCCTCTACGCTTGGTAAACAGCGGCAGAAGCCCTGAAACAATAGAAAATAATCTAAGGGTTGTTCTAACTGAGAATACTATTGAAAGGCAGGGTATCCGTTGGCAGCACTGCAACTTTTCTGACTGGAAATTTTGCCTTTCATACATATCACATGGTCCAAAATAGAGGGGGAAGCTAACTTCCAGAAACAAGGCATTGTTTTTCTTCCACTTCAAAATGAAAGGAAGCCTTATTTCCTTCATTTTAATTGCATTTACATGTCAGGGAAAAAAACACTTCCTAGTAAAGATCTACTGAGGAACATCTGTGTTACCCGTTATATAACATTGAGGTAATGCAAATCCACACCCAAAGGGACCAGTGCTCGATTTAGACAGTGACCATTTATGTTATCAAGGCTAATAAAGAAATGATAAAGTTTGGGCTTTGGTAGATAATAAATCTAATCTAATAAAATCAAGTTTTATTTATATAACACATTTATAAACGATTTTTGGTCGAGCCAAAGTGCTGTACGTATAATAAAAATAGCCTACAGTAGAGACACTTTACAGCTAATACAACAGCACAGATTGTAAACCCACAGTTTAAAGGGAAAAAATGGGAGAAACCTCAGGGAGAGCAACAGAGGAGGGATCCCTCTCCCAGGACAGACAGACGTGCAGTAGGTGCCGTGTGTAAATCGAAGAGATAATACATTTTACAGCATAGGTAGGAAGACCAAATGTTAGGAAATGCATGTGTCTGTAATAAAGTACGTTTATCAAGAGTGCCATACCGTTTGAGGATCAGTGACCTCGGTTCCTGATAGGTTACACGCACTGATGGGGGCTAGAAGCACAAAGAAACACACCACAAAGTTAACAAATCAGAAAACTGTACTGTTACGTTGTGCATCAAACATGGCTTAAAGGCTGTCAATATTTAGAAATTATATCCTTCAACAAAAGCACATAACTGAACTTAAATGATTAAACATAACTGCTTCCCCAATAAGATTTTATTTGTGAGTATGATGGCTCCTGATTTGATTACCTGAGCACTGAGGGAACCGGAGTCCAGAGGCACATCGGTCACACTGCTGGCCCACCACCCCTGGGAGACACAGACACTGACCCGACAGGGGGTCGCATATACTGCCATAAGAGCCTTCCGGTGAACATTGGCAGACTGTGGACAGGAAACATGTTGAAGTAAGAACTTGTTCAATATAAGCAGTTGGAGCTATATATCACTTTATATTATTTAATAGTTTAACATTGATTTTCCTGCTGTTTATAGTAAATGTATTACTAGTTATTGTCATTATTGTAGTAAGTAAGTAGTTTCTATGCTTTTATTTTGAAGGCATGTTTGGGCACTGGGTGATTAGAGCACCTGGTGTAATTGTATATTGGAAACAGGTGGTGGTGGGAGCCAGAGAACTAGTAGGCACATGGTTTTTTACCAGGGTATTCCAAGCCACAGGGAAGGAAGCCATAGGAAAGGCTAAAGGAAAGAAATATAGGAAACCTGATGATTGTCCTTTGTTAATGATATTGGATGATATAATAAATGCACAAACGGAGATTCTTGTCTGGACCTGGATCATTGTACTGCGTAAGTTCTGCTAACTAGTGCCTCAGTGTTATTTTAAGTTAATTATCAGTTTCATTTCTATATGATTTTGGCCACTACATAAGCCTTTCATTAAGGTTAGGTGAATCTGAATGAAGAAAGGTGATTGAAGATGAGAAATTATTGTACATTCTTGTATAAATATAAATATGTAAGAAGGAATAACTTGCAGAAATCATTTAAAGGATAATCTTTGATCAGCAGTAAGTAAGGGGTGGGAATTAATAAGCATTTGCTTCCCCCTGCTACCTTTCAGACACATGATTTATTATTATGAAAATTTTTGTTGAATATATTAATATTATTATGAATATTTATTATGAATATTGATAAATACTGCATTCTAACAATACCGTATTCTGTTTTTCAATTTTTTTTTTTTTTATCTGTTCGAAATCCGGTATGAAATAATTGTTCACAAATACTCCTGCCAAATTCTGATTTCCCTCTATGATTCCCAGCTGTCTATTCTTGGGAATATGATTCCCTAGAAAGAAGAAGTCCATATATTTCTCATGCTCCCGCTGTCTGTGAAACGTCGTGTCGTGCAGAGTACATTAATAGTCTAAAAAATACATGCGGAGGACAACAGGCTACTGTGGGAGAATGAGCGTGTTTGCTCCACTGAGTCATGAGAAGAGGCCACAGTTAGCACAGCAGCTGCCTTTTTTCCACCTGGACTCAGATCTGATGCACCCAATTGGTGTATCTGCCTTAGTTACAGTGGATGGCAAAAAGGGATCAAAGCCACTCACCGGCACAGTCTGGGTATCCATAGTAGCCAGGGGCACATTCGTCACACTCGTTCCCAGCATAGTTGGGAAAGCAAATACACTGACCATTGGGACTGCACATACGGCCTGTCACACCAGCCCCTTCACAGGCACATGCTGCGGAAGAGAGAGAGTGTCGTGTGAGGTGCACATTTGTACAGTTAGACACTCCTTATTTCTCATTAGAATCAAAATAGTCAAACATTGTTTATCCGTACTGCATGGTTCATTAAAATCTACATAACAATGGTTACAAATATGAACATTAAATATAATACATAAAAACATTTGTTTATATAAACATTGTGTAATGTTTTAACATGATAAGATATATAAGATTACAAATAAATGCAACCAGGAAGTCTTGCTTAATATCAAGTGGTGCTGACACAACTAACGACCCTAAAGAAAACCTAGAGCTGATCCCCTTTGGTCAGCTATATGTGCTAGAAGAATACATTTATAATATAATTTCATCTGACAAAGGAGTGCCTTGGTATTTTTCCATATTTGTCTGCACCATTTCATATTAAGCAAGATGAATGTTTTTTCTTGAGTCTCAAGATCAACTGTCAAGAGTCTTTACTTTAGAGTTAATGGCCAAACAATGAGCCTGCTTAAAGTGTACTTGGTAAACTAACTACATCAAGCAGGTTCATGCAGACAAAGAAAACGTTTCTGTAACAATAAAAAACATCTGGCTGGACAAACTGTTATAATTCTTGGCACACTAACCCCATTCTGGTGCAATTAGTCCAAAATATGAATACGGGCTACACTGACGTGTGGATACAACCCCACATTTCCTTTTATGGCATTCTGTCTTTGACCCCATGACAATCTTTTTAAATACAGTTCATGTTTTATAATGATTCAGACAAGTGACACTGATGCTCATTGGAAAGGGGATTCTTCTCACGCTGGCAGTTTGGGAAGGAGTGGTATCCTGGTTGGCAGCGGTCACATCGCTCCCCCTCCACACTCTGACGGCACAGGCAGCGTCCTGAATCGTCGCATACCCCATACAAGGTCCCTCTGTTGTCACATACACACTCTGTAGACGAACACATTCCAAATCATTATTTTATCAATACAAGTTAATAAAATCCTAACAACAATAGTTTCAATGAGAACTTAGTTGAACCCTGAGGCCTGCTTAGAGCACTTTCTTTGGTGCAGCTGAATAACAATACATGACAAATACTTCCATCAGTTGACTATTCTCATTTTGTGGCACACAGTGGTACGGCCACGCTGGTGCCCACGTCTTGCCAAGCCTCCGTTGTTATTGTGAAAAGACTTGGCACAAAGACAGGACAGCCACCTCAGAGACTGCCGCAGTTTTCTTGCCCCTAAGCTTCAACATATAAAAATAGGATTTTTGAAGGCTGCTGATAAAACTCCTTCTCAGTCAGCTATCATGATGAAAGAAATACTCTTTAAACAAATTAAAGGGAAGTGATTGTTTTCCTACTTTCTCTGACGAATGATAAGACCTGGTTAAAGGTCCATGATTTAATAGCAATTCCAGAGTACTAATAATGGGTTTCCCATCTTGGAGGAAACCAGAAAAGGGAATAAGGAACATAAATTATAAACAGGAGCATAACTAATAATAGACTGGTTCGTTCTCACAGTCCCAACTGACTATTGCTATTCAAAGAGGACAGAGACCACTTGAACTTTAATCCCTGCTGACGGACATCATAATTCACGACCGTAAGATTGTTTTGCCAAACAATTGCAAGAGGTTGGCTGCCATTGAGCAGCAGATTTACTCATTCAGACGTATATTATACCAGTATTTTAACCATCTTGTTAAACCCAATCATAATATATTGCATGTTTTGTTTTCGTAAGGCCTACAAACAAAATGTGACCTTTAGTCATGCCGATGTTCATGAAGCCTTTTTTGACTGACCCCTGTCACATGTTCTTAACATTGAACTCAAAGTCAGACTTAATGGACTGGTCCTCTAAAGCCTTTTTTAACAACCTGGGAAGACTGTAAGTGAATATGACTCGAAGGTAAAGGACTGCCCTGTTTAAAAAGTGCTTCAAGAGGATACAGTTTCATGTTTTTTTTTTTTTTTAGATAAAGTAACTGCAATAAAAGCAGTTAACATAGCGTGGCGTAAACACCTCTAAAACAGCACAATATATCAGTTGTAATCAAACTCGTACTGACAGCTCGGTGAGTCAATAACCCTGAGGGCAAGAAGTTGGCAATATGTAGATAGCAGTACAAATTATGGAGAAGCAGGGCAGAAATAGACTTTTAAATTATTGCTTTAAGACTTCTTTCAAGCTAAATCGAGCTAAGAGACACTGCAAAATCTTGTTGATTGAACTCACCCACAAAAGGTCCGGCAGGGGATTTGGTGGTTGTCTGGTATACAGGATATGCTGATTGCAAAGGAAAGGCATGACATTAAGACCTCCACTAATGGGTAACTGTGATCGTCAGATTTATTTATAGCAGTGGGGAAATGCTTTTTTATATAGAATTGGATTTAAAATGTACACTCACATAAACCTGTAAACAAAAGAATGTAATGCAGTTGGAAGAAAACATTATCAAAAGGTGTGGTTTTAGATAAATGCGCTCATTCATTTTCTTTGGACAGAGCCAGGCTAGCTACAATTACAATTACAATACTATGTTAAGCGATCTGCAACATATCCGTCATCAACATGGAGACAAAAGACAAGTATCAACCCTCTCATCTGGCTTTTGGCAAAAAAGCAAATAGGTGCATAAACACTGTAATCACTACATATAAAGGTTCATAGCCTTCTAACAGAAATAAACGAAATCGACTTTGAACTACTTTATTACACATTAAGGCTGTAAAAAAGTACAAACTGGGACGCAGAACAGAAGGGAATAAGTTCTTGAAAGACGACCTCCTTATGACTGTGTCAGCATGTTAAGACTAGTTTGTCAGTGCTAACAGCTAGGAGACGAGACACAGTTTTAATGATAGCTTCAAGTTATAAATCTATCTCTTGATAAAATGCCAAGTCTGGCCTCATCAGTCTACATCTAATTGAATTGTCTTTAAATGACATAAGAAACAAAGCAACAGAGATAAATCACGGATTAGTTGCTTTGTTGTGTATTCTGAGATAAAACTGTCAGAGAGGTATAATTAGGATTAGAAAAAAGACATGTAAAGCTTTTAATGTTAAATTAAAGTCAGTCAGTTAGATGTTTATTACAATTTAGAAACACTGTTTAACAAGAGGCCTCAAAAGGACTTGACTTGTCAGTTAAGGGTTTGAAAGAAAACTACTCAAAGGGGATGGAAGATGGAAAACTGTGTGGCTTAATGGCTGGCAGACTTCCGAGTGTAGCTAGATCAGAATTAGATAACATGGGGTAACCCTCACAGTGTTTGTAATATCTGGGTTTATTTGTATAGACAGGTTTGGCATGTGGAATATTTAGTCAATACTGTAGCATGTGCATACATCTTTCTGCGTGAAGCCCTACGGCATATTTCTTTGAGTATACCATAACATTAAGTCCAACAAAAAGTCGTACTCCTCCCTCAAGGGGAACAGACTGAAAGACAAAAGTCTAGGTGAACATGAAACGGATTCCAGCCATCAAACAACGGGTTCAGTTTCACTTCACTCCGTGTACCTTGACAACACAGATATGTCATTTTCCCTGTTGTCCATGATTCAAAGGGACATGGGTGAGGGTAAAGGTAAATTGGATATCTAGTATATGATAAGATAAAGAGATACTTACGAATACATTGAGGGTAGTAATAGTATCCGTCAGCACAGCTATCACAGTTCTCTCCAGCCAATTGTGGCTTGCAGATACACCTTCCTGACCCCATTTCACAGCCGGCTGCAGTCCTCTCATCACACCTGCAGGCTGGTGGGGTCAAATGTTGTTGTTTCTCAAGTTAACATTGACAGATAAATGTTCACGCATTCCTAGAGATGCATCTACATAGACTTAGGGTCTGTCCACACAAAGAACAATGACTATGATGTCCGGGTTGCCACAAACTATTATTTTCGTTATCAACTAATCTGCCACACTCTTATTTTTTTAGACTTCATAAATAGATATTCAGTTTGATATGCTATAATGACATTTTACTTAAAATAATACTTTAAAGATGCATTTATTTATACTTTGTTAATATATAACCAAAATATTTCCATTTATTGACTCATCGAGAAGTCGACTAGACTTTGCAGCTCTAATAAACGTCCATACACATAATCACAGCACAGAATTATTGATTGTAAGCCAAGGCACATTAACTGTACTTCAAATATCAGTAACAGGTAGAGAAAGCTTTCAACCATCCATCCTTGGGAAGCAAATAATGATTACTGAACCTTTATCAACTCTGCTTTTGCCAAAACCAACACCTTTCTCTGCTAAGCGGACTTAATTCAGTTTGAGGATCTTATGGTTTACTTTTCAAAGTGCTCAGGGCAACCAGTTTAATTCCACTGCTCTCTATGTCTAAACAGAACTGGCAGCTATTTATACGGCCTGGAACAGCCATGGACCATTAAAGTAATGTAAACAAGAGTGGAGCCCAGTTTAGCAATAAGACATGGTGCCAGTGGTGCTTGTGCAATGGGATCATTTGTGTCTGTGTCAAACAAAAAGTGGATTCCTCTCTTTTTGTCATATATACTGCCAATCAAATACCTACATGGTGAGACTTTATTTAGATGTAAAACGTGTGCTTAAGCCTGGATATTTAAAAGAAGGCAAAATGAAGGCCTAAAAGGTTGTATTTCCCTATTACACGTTCATTGCATTAATTGAAGATGCTGCAGAAACTGATTAAGTAGTATCTGAATTTCTTATGTCATTTTTTTTAATCCCATTTTGAATCTTCATAGACTGCAGCACTCACACAAACAATGATCATTTTAATCCATATTTACCCCACCAAAATGAAAATCAGCCACTTCAATGTTACATTTAATAAACAGAAAACACCACTCACGTATGCATCCAGTGGGAGACTCGGGAGGTACTCCAAAAGGTCTGTAGAAACCTTCCAGGCATTGCTCACAGTTCATTCCAGCAGTGTTGTGCTGAAGAAGACACAAACACATAAATGTTGTGACACTGATTAAAAGAAAGAATGAAAAATGAAAGAATTTGCTCTATAAAGTATAATATCTCTGCACATTGTTGCTTTCATTTAGTCTCTTCATTGGTATACTTTTCCTGATGATATCAAACACAATATTTTACCACTCAATAGACTTTATTTTGACAAAAGAAAATGACACAAAATCAATTTATTAGAGTAGCAAATGGATTGTAAAAAGTGTGCCTGGGCATCACAAACACAAAATGGTGCAGTATCAAATGCTCCATAGACGACTCACTAAATATACACACAGACAACATGGAATTTCTCTTCATTTATTATTCCCTCCTCCTATCCTACAACAACACACAGGCACACACTGGAATCAGTTTAGACTTGACATGCATTTCTTACCTGGCAATTGATGCACACTCCTCCTCCGTCGTACCTTCCGAAGGTGTCTAAACTTGCTCCCCTCTTTTCCACCTCTGGGTCATAATAACAGTCAGTGGCATGGGAGAAACACTGGCAGGCTGAAGAGGAAACCCCCGAGAGGGATACACAATTATCCTATATGCCTCATACACTCCCAAGTCTGTATTTAGCTTTAAGTTACAATTCCTCAAAAACAAGTTTTAAGTCTGGTTGTTAAGCTGCAGAGAAACTATAAAATTCTAATTAAACCTGAAGGCACATCCTCTTCCTGTATACCACCCTTGTGTCTCTTTAAAGTTGTATTAAAGGATAGGGTGCATTTCCACTATATGAGTGCACTGATTAGGGTCTTCTTCATCTTTTTCTCTCTTTTGTGGCTTCTACAAGGTCATTTTTCATCAAGGGAAAATGTGTCAACAGTCCAAAGCAATTAGATTCCAGCTGACAGAGGCTCTGCTGGCTGACTACATGGCTCCACAATAAGCTGGCGTGACAGACTATCTGGTAGGCTGCCTGGCGCGAGCCCTGGCTAGCTGGCTGCCTAGCTGATATCCCAGGGCTAGTTGTGCACTGTGCTCTTCCTTATACATACCACATGAGGAATGTCCTCTCAACTCTTCACTGAGGCTCTCCACAACACCATAACAGGGCATCCACAACAAGCTTTAATATCAGAGACAGGAGGACACTTCAGTCCACTCTGGGGGTCATAATTCAAGAAGCCAGCAGGGTGGGGAGTAGCAGAGTGTGGTTTGTTTACACATTGAATGAGACATTGTACATGGACACTTACGCCGACACTCATTTGGGCTGTCAACGGTTGCGACGCGCCATGGTTTCTGGTGAAAGCCTGGGCAGCAGCGGTCACATGACTCACCGCAGGTGTTGTGTTGGCACTCACACTGCAGTCTGCTGACGGGAGAGGAGACACCTGGATTTAGTGATGCTCAGATTTTTAAGAACTTTCTTCTAACGTTCATTTCTTTATCCACTTGGAGGCAGTAGACCTACCTGTTACCACATACATTTTATTACCTTATTAAGTTGTTCGCGCAAATGTCTAGTTACACAGCAGACACAACAACATTAGCATTCATTTGGAGTCTTGTTTCAGGCAACCCCATGAATTTAAGTCCAGTAATGACTGAACTTCTAGTTGCTTGTAAACAATAAAGCACATAAAGCATCTATGACTGCTATGTTGCCCTGTTTGGCTGTTCAGAACACACAGAGTTACAGTGGCTCAAAGCAGCACTTTATCGCACATCTTACCCTTTTAACAATGTTATATAACGTTGTGTCAGTAAACAGTAAATAACATAATCTGATGCCCTTTACAATGGTGATGTCAACGTACAAACATATAAGGTAATTGTCCTTCCGCAGGAGCATCTCTTAAATCGCTTGATCTGCCAGGATATCTGTTTTTGTCATGCTTTTAGCATTAGGTCATTGCAGTACACAGTTTATACACAGAAGCCCATTGTACAAAAAGACTACTGAGCTCTGTTAATGAATACACAAGAAGTTGTACATCAAAGTATGTTTATAAGAAAACCAGTTCAGGTTATAATTAATAAGTGATCAAAAATGTTTCAACCAGAGCTTTTCAAAATAAAGGATTGTGCCAATTATTTACAGCATTGCAAAAGACAAAGAGCATTACTAACCTGTTTGGGTTGTCTTGGTTACGACCCCCACCACACACCTGTGAATGCCCATGGCAAACGCAGCGTCCACCGATGCTGATATCTTTGATACTATAGTAATACTGTCAACAAATAGAGAATGATATCACCAGCTACATTTCAAAGTAAAAGCAGTGTTATCAGCAACTTCACCCACACCAGAACAAATGTCTGGCTTTGCTTTGGAGCAGACGTGAGTCACACGGGTCGACTAGTACAAACTTATGCACTAAGGCTAGTTTTATGGGATGAATCAGTGCATTATAAAAATAGAGATAAGGGTGAATCAGTGCATTTAGAAAAAAAGAGATAAGATAAGAATCCACAGCTGATATGACAGATTTATTCTCAGCACGCCAAATAAAGAAGAATTTATCAGCTGCTTCAGAAATTAACCCTTCAATTCAGGAATTACATCTTCAAGGGATTTACTTTAGACTATGTTACTGTCGCTTTGGTACAAGATATCTTAAATCACTACTCAAACAAGTAATGCTAACCCTACAGCCTTTTATTACCGTGTGTTCTCCTGCTATAAGTAGAAGTACTTTAATATGCAGTTGCAGCATGAAGGAGCTGTAAGGAATTATCATGATGACTGGACAGACCTGGCAACAGTCCCTGGCAAATTTGAGAAATGTCTGATCAGGAAGATTGTGGTTAGCGATTCTCTGTCAGCAAAAAGCAAGCTGGAGGGAAGGTGATGCAGAGTTGTTAATGTGGCTTTGCCCAAATGGGAAACAAGAGTCTGCCAGCATGACACCTTTGTGTGAGGTCGTACAGTTTGTTCCTCACCCTGCGTGTAACGGTGGGATCTCTCTGAGCCTTGGAGATCAGGTGGCCCAGTAGGGTGCTGGTGCGGAGGAAGCGCAGACGGATGTTGGTGGCCTTTGTGAAGTCTCGCAGCACTGGCGAGTAGGTGAAGTTTTTAGACCCCGGACGACCGTTGACAAGAGAAACCACAATCTGGAACACAAATGCACACAAAGATTGTTTTTGTTACCTTGTTAAATATAGCACATTTGGTTCAACTTTCAAACAAATTAAAATTATATTTTACCTCCCCGTTCTCCAAAGGGTTGATCCGTGAGTATTCTGTGGTGCAGATCTGGTCATCATCCTGAACTATACGAGCATTGGGCTGCTTTCCGAACGTTTCTATACACTCACGCTTTGAATCTGCCAAAATAAGAAATGAAATCTCAAGCTTTTCACCTTTCATCCCCAATTCTATTATTTTTCATGTTTATGCAATGACAATAATAGCATCAAATGGATGACTTCTGCAAAGTAACTCTATATTAAAAATGTAATAACAATATCTAGTAAAAGATATTGTACAATTGTTTTGTTCAGGTGCTTGCTAAAACCTCTTAACTCTGATAGTCAAGAGTCAGCTGCCCAAATACTTCAAATTGAAATAAGGAAGCATCAATAAAGTTTCATGTTGAATTAATGTATCAGGTTTTATTCAGGTAAAAGGGAATGAATAATTCATAAGAGTTGTGTATAAGTGGAGGCCATGCATGAACATTGGATGCTTATGAGGGAAAAAATATGGACAATTCTGATATGAAATCTGATGAGTCACATCTGTGTCTCCTGGCAAGCTGTGTGCACATGCCTCTGGGATATTATACATTATAGTTCAAATATGGCAACAAATCGAGAACATGTATTCAGGTATGAAGTTCAGATACTTTGGGGATGCTATGACATTACATGCCAAGTAATTAAGTTAGAAATTCACTGCATGCCCCCACTTGCTATCTTCTCCAAAGATCCATCATCAGAATGAAAAAAGGTTTTAAGCCTGACTGTAGAAAAGGCCCCAAAGTTATAGTTATTGATATATATATATATTTATTTATTATACAGAGTTGATAACTGTTACATTGTGCCTTCATAGTGGGGAGGGGCTAACCCACACGTTTTGGGTGACGTCACACATCAGAGGGTAATGTGCGTCAGTAGTTGCAGGAAAGTTATGCCGTTTTAAGCTTCGTATTGTGTGCGTAAATGAACGTGAGTGTTTGTCCACAGTGCTGCCTGTTATGTTGTTCTACACTTTATTATTATTGTGATAACTTCTGTGCCGATTTGGCTTAATACCGAGTCTCCGTGCTCATGTGATCGGTGCATGCTGCGTGCATGTTTATTGGTTATGGCTAGAAAGGATCCGTCTAGTGTAAATATGACGTCACGTTCTCGTTGTAACTCTCGTTGTAATCGGAGCGGCTCGGAAACACATCTACAGCAGTAACATGATGCAACATACACATTAATGCAGCAGCAATATTAATAGAGAAACATCAGACATAATAGTAAAACACTGAAAGGGAACATTTTATTGCACCAGGAGCTATCTTGGGACTTTTACTGCGACAACGTTGACTTGCCTGTGAATAAAAAATAAACCATAGTGTTGGTGATCTACAGTGTTGTCATTCTTCTTTGAACACCAGCAAGACCGCTAACACCCTATTTCAACAGTCACACTCCCTGTCATTGACATAATTAATAGATAGTTTAGCTTCTCACCATCATTTGCTGTGGCCAACTGATGTTAACGATCGTAACTGAAAGGCTGCCTGCCAAACGTAAACATTCAGCCACGTGACATTCAGCCAAACTCTCATGAGAGTTTTACACAAGACGGATCCTTTCTAGCCATAACCAGGCTGCAGGGTTATGGCTAGAAAGGATCCGTCTTGTGTAAAACTCTCGCCTCAGTGTGCACGTAAGGGAAACCTGTGTTTCATTATAGTTCGTTTTCGACGACAGATAAAACTAACGAATAATAAATAACAACCTAATCCTATTTAATTTAGTTGAAATGGATTTATTTTCTACTAAGTTTACTCACCTTTATAATTTTATCCGAAAAGAAAATCGGGGATGGAGTTTTCGTCGTACTTCCGACTTATTTTTCCCAACATTACAACAGGGTTTCAAATTATTTGTCATGTTTTAAACCTTGTAACAGTCTCTTCTTTAATTTCGATTGTCGTCGATGTGCAGTCCATCGTAAAATATTTAGGTGGCAATGACATCCGATATGGCCAGATTTACAAAAGTGAAACCAGATAAATACATTGTATTTCTATTGAATTAGATATTGTACTCGGTTCTAGAGACATACTGAAATCACTTGAAAACTTAACTTAATTTTTATTCAACTTTGTTGTCCACGGTCATACATGTCGATCGATCAATCGAAGTGTATAACATAGGCATAAATAAAATTGCTTTTACCATGCCAAAACTTACGTGGGAACCCAAAACTGCACACACTTGCAATCAATTAATTTCATTCAAATTTTGGCTTATGAGTGTTAGAATAATCACAAGGAAGCGAAACGACAACGAAAATTAGGTGTAGACCGACCCCCAATACCGATCTTTCCTAGGCAGACAACACATTTATACCTGCAGTGCAAGAGGAACATTGAAGAGCAACATTAGCCTCGCCCGAGCCTCTGTGTGTATTGATGTGTCATTGTAAGTACGTTGTATGTGTTACGTACGTCGTCGTTACATTATCCTCTTTTAGTAGTCTGTTACTTATCCATTTTGTGACTTCCCTTGTAAAATAACGTGGTCCTCGATAGAAACCTGAAAATGACGGCCTGTGCCAACTGAACGGACACTTATTTTTTATTTGGTATCACAACCACTAGATGTCACACAGTAAGATGAAACTTGTCGTTCTGGCGATTGTGGGGATAAAGTTGTTAGTGTGAGTGACTTAAATGTAATTCAATCAAATCGAAAGAGTGGTAGTAAACGACACCGGTTTGACTACCAATTGCTAGGCATTGACTTTCCCCGACGGACGGTTTCATTTTTTTTTTTTTGGGGGGGGTAAAGTCGGTACACTGAA